TCCTCCCACATTTTGTTGCAGAAAATGCTATCCAGATCAAAGTGCTCTCACGGAAGAGCAGAGCTCGCTGGAGGCAGGGAGCCACCCGCGGGACCTGCAGCACGCTTAACAAGGCGAGGTGATGGGCCCATCCTGACCCCGGGCACGATGGCTGAGCCCATGGTGGGGTACTGCTGGAGTCACAGCAGAGTCCCCATAGCCCTCATCCTGGGGAAGGCACCCCAAACACCCACCCTTGGCCACTGGGCCTTGCTGTCAGCCGAACACTGTTTGAGAGCCCTCGCACAGGCTCCGTGGCCAGCGTGTCCCCTCGGCGGGGCGGCCACACTGCTGGCGTCCCGGCTGCTGGGCTCGGGGCCAAGCGCCTGCAGGAGGACGGCAGGAAAAACACAGAACAACATGTACCGGGAAAGTGCATTGGGAGAGCTCATCAGCAGCCGCACCTGGCTTTGGACAGCACAGCATATGCCCCGGGACACCGCATGGGAGGAAACTCCGGTACCGGTACCGGTACGGCAGCATCTCGCCCCAGCCCCACCAAGCTGCAGGAGCAGCTTTGCCATCACAATTAGCAAGAGCAGCGCTGCAGGAACAGGCAGGAGAGCGGCAGGGTGGTGGGGAGCACATCGACAGCACCCAGCACCGCTGCCAGCAGTGTTCCCAGGCGACGAAACACAGTAAAACACACCACTCTGCAGGTGCAAAGGCACTAAGCAACACTAGGATGCACGATGCTCTGCTCCCAGCCCAGCTCCGTAGGGGCAGCTTCAGGGTCTGACCAGACTGGAGAAGAGTGGAGGAGAAATACAGCACCTTTAACCACCCCTCTGCGTCCAGCAAAGGCAGCCTGAGATCTGCACATAGGAAACCACTGAGCAGGGGGAAAAAAAAAGTCAAACCAATTCCAGCCACCTCTAAAATGAGCAGAGTGCATTCCCCAATCATGGGAAAAATACTCCTGAAAGTCCAGACACAGCATCATCCTCCATCCCTCCCCTGCCAAAGAAAACAGGAAAAACGGTGTCTTTTGCCCACCCTTTGGTTAGGCACTTCTGCAGAGCAAACTCCTGAGCAGCTGAATCTTCCTTCTGCAGCCAGAGGCTGGGCAGTCTCTCCAGGACTGCAAGGGCTTCTCCTCTACCCACAGCTGACTTTAGCACAGCTTGTTGATCTGCTGCTAATTTTGTACTTCATTATTTATTTGCGTAGCAGCTTTCAGTAAATCCCTGTAGCTAAATCCGACCACATTTGCTGAGGACATTAAGAAAAGCAAGTTCTAGGGGCTTCCTGTGCAAGCAGTTTTATAAACACACGTCCCACTCTGAGAAAAGATCCCTTCAATTGATTCACTAGGGAAAAACAACCTACATTTAGCTTCTCCTTAACTTTCCCTCCTTGTCACACCAGGTGTGTTGCAAGCGCGGGGTCAGGGCAGCTCAGTTACATTCACCCCAGATGTCTTTGCACAGCTTCAGACCCGCGCTTGGCAGCATCCTCCACGGGGCTGATCTAAACAAGCAACCAGGAAGAGAAACGAGCAGAGCGCGGTTAATTTTATTCTCGGAGGGGAACGGAATAAATAAGCGATATGAATCAGCACAGGGAGTCAGAGCACGCAGCCCAGAGTTGCAGGAAACGGGGTGAGTCGGGGCTTTTTGTAAGCACAGTATGGGCTGCTGAGACATGCCCAGGCTCGCTCCCGGACACTTCCTGCTCGGCGGGAAGCAGGAGAGGCTGCAGAGATCACCCTGCAACCCACGAGACACCACACGCTCTCTCCAACTCCAAGCATAAAAGCCCTGGAGAAACTCCAAGCATAAAAGCCCAGCAGAACCTCCGCAAACCGGGCTGGGAGGACAAGGCATGGGCAGGGAGGCCAGGTCCTGGCTGGGTGCCGGCGTGCTGCAAGTCCTTCCTCCGACACTGATGCTTCCCGGCCAGCTTCCTCCATCCTCACTGCTCTCCACCCCACGCCAAAAAGCCAAGCAGCACATCACAGAGCACCAGCTCCATCTGCTGCTCGCTGTCAGCACGCTGCACCCCCAGCACCACATCTGGGACACATCTGTACAGGCGCCGTAGGACTGGTGATGCCACATCAGGACTGTCCCACATGTGGGATAGCCCAGGTCTGCCCTGCCCAGCAGGGAAGGTTCCTGTGCCCAAGCTGCTCCCACCCTCTGTGCCCTGCCCTGGCAGCTGCTTCATTCTCCGGGAGATTTCGAAGTTCCTGAATTTGTTTAGGGAGGGACAAGAGCTGGCCCATGGCCTTCCCCAAGGGATGGGATGCAGGTCTGATTCCTGGGCTTCACTAACAGAGGACCTGAGGAGAGCAAGGACAGCTCCAAAAGCAGAGCCCAAATCACACCCTCATGAATAAAAACTAAAGTTCAGGGGTTTTATCAATCCTGCAGCTAAGGCTGCTCTTTGAGCACTTTATCAAGCCTCATCTCTGGGCCTGCTCTAGGTAAAAAGCTTAAGAACCAGGAATGTGTTCTGGGGACACCAAGAGAACCAGGGAAGGAGAGGTCTCAGGATGGAGACGGGTTACTGCTGGAGCTACCTGAGCATCAGATGGATCAACCGCCTTCAACATCTTAGCAGCACCAAAGGTCCAAGTTAGGGTGATGTCTCCCGCTGACAAAGAGGAGGAATGGGGTAGGCTACAGCAAGAATAAAGAGATGCTGTCACCTGCTGGCCTTCCAGAAACTGGCACAGTACTAGGGGTAAGGCTGCATGCTTGAGGAGCAGGCTATGGCCTCTGCTCTCTACCAGGAACTCTGCCTAAGAACAGGTAAGCAGATAGATAGCAGTGCCAAGCACAGGCTGGCTAATGAACCCAGGACATGTCAGGCTCTGCCAGAAGAGAGGGAAGAAGCTGTCCCACTGAGAAGATCCCAGTGTGATCTCACCTGAGCCTTCCCGACCACGCTACTCACTCACACCCAAGAGATCAGTTCTGGTGCAAGCCCTCCTCACTGAGCTGTGAGCCAGGCTTTACTGCGAGCCCACAAGCACCCACAGACAGAGGCCCACCCCACGAGACACATCACTGCCTGTCCCCATGTCCCGCAACATTCCACTCAGGAGCCTGTGTCCCCTGGGAGCAGCAACGGTGGCAAGGCTGCCCGCAGAGGAATTCGGGTTCTGAGCAGAGCAGACAGCAGCAAGGCAGCCACTTGCAGAGAGGGATGTCTGCAAGGGATCTGCATGCAGTGGTGGCCTGGGGGTCCTCTGACTTCAGTGACACGATGACACAAACCTGAGCTAGGCTGTCACATGCTCCCTCGTGGGCCACCACTAGCCCACCCCATGCGGCAGGGAGGAATCCTCCAGAGCACAACTCCTCCAGAGCGAGGAGCACTGCAGCACAGTGAGCTTGCCACCACGAATACATGACCCGACTGAGCACCAGCACTAGCCAAGTGCTGTTTAAGAAAAAAAGAGTGGTGGGATTAATTATCAACAAGTGATCTGTATGAATAACATTAAGATTGCACCTCAGCAGAGTCTGGCTAATATTAATTACCTGAGAGATGAAAAGTTACAGGAGGAGTAGAGGACGCTTCCAAGCAACACTCTGCAGCAGCACCTCAGGACAGGAGAGTCAAGTTTACCTGGAGTCTCTGAACTTAATAATCCTCCAGTTTTCAGACACCTCTTTAAAGTGAGGGAGAGCCTGACCTTGCATGGACTGCGCTGACTGTTTTGGGGAGGCGGAACCGTTTCTCTGGCAGGTAGCAGGATGAACATTTGCACATGGAAGCACTCTGACCTTTGCAGGCTCTCCATCCCCCTTTTCAAGAGCTGCTAGCAGCAGGGTGACAGCTTTTCTGATCCCAGTCCCATAGGATGCCTTCAGAAGCCATCTATACACAAGCAGACATGGGCCTTGAGCTGGGGCGCTGAACTGGGGCCAACAATAGGGTGCCCAGAAGAGGAGCTCAACTGCCCAGAGCAGCTGCTCTTCTCCAGCAGAAGTGGTTGCCCAGAGGTGTTCCCGAGACCCGCAGCCACCCAGCCCCAGCCCAGACCATCACTGAGCTGCACCGGGACACCTCCGGTCACCTCCCCACAGGCTGCAGGGTCTCAGCTCACACAGAACAAGCCCTTCAAAGGAGGCTGGGGAGAGACGCATCCTTCTCCAGAGAGGTGGGAAGGAGACACTCTCCTGTAAGGGGCCGGACAAGGGCTGGGAGCTGAGGAAGTTTCTTTTCCTCCAACTGCCGCTGCCTTTGTCTTAGGTTAACGTTACCCACACCCTCACACGCTCCCTCCATAATGCCTGGCGAGCCCCCAGACGACGCTCTCTGTGCCCGGGGTGCGCCCGCCAGCCCACGGAGCCCGGCGTGGGGGCGGCCGAGGCCGGGATGCCGGTCGGGCGTCTCTGGGCTCCCCTTGGGCAGGCCCCGCCGCCCCCCCGCCGCCCCGCACCTGGTGCCGGAAGGCGGCTCCGCGCAGCAGGTCCCGCAGCAGGCCCAGGCCGATGTCCCTGCTGGCGCCCTCGGTGACCAGGTGGAGGTGCAGCGCCTCCCCGCCGCCCAACCGCCCGTGCCGCAGCAGGGAGCGCAAGGCCGCTTGCGCCTTGCCGCGCAGCGCCGGGTTCCGCTCCGCCTTGGTGAACATCAGCAGGAGGTGCAGGTCGCGGCCCCCCGCCGCCGCCGCCACCACCTCCCCGCCGCCGCCGCCGCGCTGGGGGTGGCGGTGCGCCGGGGCGGGCGGCGTGGCGCGGAGACGGCGAGTGGCGCTGGAGAAGGTCTCGCCACCGCCACCCAGGTAGTAGAAGGCACAGACGGCCAGGGCGGCGGCCAGCGCCAGGGCACAGGGCTGGGAGCGGGCCCAGCCCCGGCCCGCGCGGCCCAGAGCCGCCATGCCGGGGGCGGGGCGGCCGCCATGTTGGGGGGCGGCTCCCCTCAGCCCGCCGCCATGTCGGGGCGGGGCGGCCGCCATGTCGGGGGGGGGCCCCCTCTCCCTCAGCCCGCCCCACAGACACAGGCGGTTGACAGCATACAAAGGTTTAATCAAGTACAGTATTTACAATCCTTACAGCATGTACAGTCGATTAACTACAAAGGTAATAACGCGCTTCTCTCATTTACAATGGCAAGCTACAGAAAACTACATTCAAGTTTTGGATACAAAGTCTACAGACTTAATAAATGCAAACTAGGGCTGGTTATACATTCTTTACAGTTATACCTTAAGGGGGAAGGGGTCACAGGAGCATTTTACTGCTGGAATGCTTAAAAAACACCGAGCACAGAGTGACACGTGGGTAAAGAAAAAAAACAGTTGATTATTTCACACAGAGTAACCTCTCTGCTTGAGGAAATTATAATTTCTCAGTGATTTCTATCAAAACATGGAAAATCAAATCCTAACAGAAAAGTGAGTGGGAATTTTTCCTCCTCTATCATCTCCTTCCATGGGAAGAGAAACAAGAAAATACTGTATGCAGAAAGATAAAGCAAGTGTATGAAAGGCAATATACCAAAGTGGTACATTCATCCTTTTCCCCAGCACTGCCTTTCTGGAGCTGTCCCCGTTTTAAAAATGTGCTTTTGTGCAAGACAGCAAGACAGTTTGGCTCCCAGGGTGCACAAACAAGTGGCATGTTCTCTAACTTGGGGAAAAAGTGTCCATCTGTGAATGGGCAGAGGGGGTAGGTTTGCAAAACTGACTCTCAAAATGCTTCTAAGTGTATTAGATAATCAGAATAATCAGCTCAGTCCTTTTAACAGTGTAAAAATATTATGCCCGTGGTACTTGCACACTAGTTGTAGTTCTATCAAATAGTCCTTTTATATTCACTGTGGCATTTGGGATTCTCATGATCAAAAAGCAGAGTTAATATCCACGCTTTAAAACAGATGTCTGCAGCGAAGCACCACAGTCCTGGAAACACCACAGCCAACCCTATGCTTACTCCTGTTCTCACCTTTTTTCTTTAGTGCTACAAAGTTTTTGCTCCATCTAGGATAACTCTAATAATCTGGACAACATGTGTGTGCTGATATCATAAAGCAAAACAGGAGAAACTGCCTCTTAAACAGGGATTTCCTGACAGCAGTTGGAAGGTCTGGTTGCATTTTCTAAAACTATTTCAGCTCAGTATATAAATAGGTAAAATATAAAACCCCAGAGTGAAAAATGCAGTATCAATACAGGGTCCTTTAACACACTAACATTAGAGGCCAGGAATGATACAATCTAAAGCTTCTGAAATCAGTGGTAAGGCTGCCACTGATTTCGTGGAGTTCTTAGATTAGGTCCTAATTGGTAAAGAGGCTGAGGTCTACAACATAGTAATGAACAGCTGAAACACACGTTCAGACAGCAATATGTGCAGCTTGTGAAAGCAAAGGAAGACTTCTACCATCTACCACCTTCACTAAAGTTTACAGGGACAAATTCCAGCATGTCTAATATAATTCAGTGGCATAATTCAGTATGATAATTCAAAAAATTTAGTTTATATGCTCTGTACTGACATTAAGATTAAAGATGAAACCTAATGAACAATCAAAACAATACAGATCACTAAGGAAACACCACAGACCCCACTATAGCCAATGTGCAACATCAGTAAATTATACCTCTGAAGTCAAGATGCATTAGAATATATGCTGAGCTCCTTGACATTTGTCTTTCCAAGAGACCTTTGGAACACATGATCTAACTCTGGCTAGGAAAGATATTATAAAATCTTTCAATGGGCTATCTCGTAAATTACTAGAAATACACATGAAAGCTGATTTTAAATCGTGTTAGGAATCTACTGATTTTGTACCTCACTGACTGAGACCTTTGATATTTCATATCCACACAGAAACATGAACTGGAATTGAAGCTTCCCATTACCTGGCACAGAGTACAAGATGCTAACCTACAATGGAGCACTACTGTCTTATTCTAGTTATACTCAGATTCGCATTGTAATAAAAATGGAAGTTTCTTAATATTGCTGAGCAGAAGATTAGCACTCAAGTTAGAACTCGATAGGGAAATCCAGATCTTCAGAGTACTAGAAATAATCATATTTTGTATTACTGAGGGCTGGATCCTCTGAGTTAGAGAGTCCCTGAAGCACTGACCCTGACAGTCTTTGGCAGGACTAAGCCCTCAATGCATTTCATGCAGCTTAATGGCATATTCATTTTTGCTGATGAGCAACATATTGACACATGTATTGCACCTGACCTGAAAAAAGTCTACAGGAAGCTGTCCTGCAAAAAGTGTCACAAATTTTCATGGCTAGGAAGGAAAATACCAGCAGAGATTCAAAAGAAGTCTCTCAGACATTTTTCCAAGAAGCACGGACTGAGATAGTGATTATGCCATTAAGCTTTAGGGAGCTTTACACTGTAGCCAATCACACCATATACTGCTGTCAGGCAGGCTGCGAAAGGTAACTCTTTAGAAAAACCTATGTCTAAAGTGTATACTATACGTAGCCATATCTTACATAGTCCCATCTGTACACTGGGTATTTTACTTTCTCTAAGATCTACTATAATATCCACTGCTGCTAAATACTGCAGATTAGGAAGTATATTATTTCATAAACAGCTATTTAAAAGACAACTTACTAGAAACTACTGCTTACAGGTGATACTCCTAAGTTTATTATTCAGACTAAACACACTTTTTAAATGGGCAGAGTCTGCTTTTCCTAGCATAATTAGAGCACTCACAAAGCAAGAACTGTTTTGTAAGGTTCTTCTGCTTGAAAAAAGAATCTATTGGACACTTCTAAAATGCTATTAGCTTTGCAGCAATAATCATTCAGATCTGATACATTATTCCACAGTTGATGCAAAACGATAAATATTTGAAATAGCTTACAAATTTAACATGCCAGACAGTTTAATTTTACCATAGCTTACCAAAATTTTTTAGCCAATTTTTCTTCTCAGCCAGCTTGGGGAAAAGCCAATTCATTTTCTAAATACATTCAAACAGCAGGTTGGCATAATGCCATGGCTATTAGGATTGTTAAAATCTCAGATTGATGCTATGCTACCTAAAAATTCTCCTAAAGTTATGTGTAGGGCAGACAAATAGAGCATAAAGAATTGCATCTGCTACTTTAGTGCTTCAGGTGATTACTATCTAGGTATTAAATAACCTGACACATAAGCATGTATCTACAGATACCATTTATAGACATATCAGCAGAGCTCACTATTCCATAAAGCAAACTGTGTTGCTGCCCTCAGAATACAGCTGGAGACTATGGTTGTTCCCTACTTTGCAAAAACATGCAGTGAAATTCCTAGGTTTTCTTGTGTACACCTTAGTTTAGGCAACATGTCCACATACACATCTCTGCAGATCACATAAAGGATACTGCTTTCTGATATAAAGGATTAGACTGCCCTAGATTCAGGGTGGCTGCATTACATATGAGATCTTACATACTCAGCTTAGGGCTAGTGGGGAGAACAGCGAAAGGAAAGGTAACAAACAGCCTTCCCATCACTGTTCTACACAAACTCCACTGGCTCAGTATTTACTTTCATGTCTCAAATTTCAAGTTTTGATGTCAAGATACTACAAACAAACCCCACAACACATCCAAAAGGATTAAGTTTATTGTTCATGAAAAGTTCCACATGCTCATTTAAAAGTATACTCACTGCACAGAAAGTTTAATTTAAGAGAAAAAAAAGGAAAAAATAGACTGCTCTTAGAAGTTTGGTCCTCCAGGACAGACACCTATTGTGACTGACCCGCAGTCACCAGCGTAAAGGCCAGCCTGGTGTTAAAGCTTCCACTTGTGAAAGAACAGGAGTTACCACCTCTTGTTATGAACAGCCTACCTCTGACCACAGTCAGTGTAGGAACAAGAGAATCTGTTAGGTTACAGGCCCACAAACAGAAGGACAACCCAGTAAGTCGTTACCCGATTTCCCTTCCAAATAGTCCCAGAAAATGCAACCCAGACCTTCTTGTCAGAGGCACATTCTTCATGGCAACGGGGAGACAGATGACAGTAGGGGACACTAAACAGCAAAGGTGGTCTGACCGTCCTGCCATCCAGAGCCTGCAATCTGCTCCGCTAACTTTATGTACGAACTGCAGACAAACACCATACTTGCTAACAGGTACTATTTTCATACTGAGCTAGCAGGCATTTATTATTTTTTTTAAACATTTTCTTCAGCTGCTGAGGTATACGTACTGTAGGACATAAAACAACTCACACATTTCCCCAGCTACCACAATCTAAAGCTACATTAGAGTGGTCATTTTATCCAAACTATCTAACAAAATGCATATAATTCATTCCACTAAAGTAAAAAAAGACTTGCACTATAAAGATCAGGTTCTTTTCCTTCTTGACACTTAAGACTTCTGGGAATCTGACTGCTGGAAACGGTTTAGCTTCTCTGGATTATTTGATGCCATTTGAGAAAAGTCACGAAAAATGTCCTGATAAATTTCATCTCCTAGGTAGAAAAGAAAAGGAAAACAGTTTTAACCAATTTGTGATAGTTAACATCACCCACCATTGCACAAATGCCCTACTGTGCTACCAATTACTGTTTAACACTTAATCATGTATAAAGATTACTCATAGATGGAATGATGCTGATGGGAGCTCTTTGGGACTGTGTACTTGCATGCACGTTCTGTAGAAGCAAATTAAAGCCAAACTATACCTGAAATAGTACCTCATGGGCAGCCACACAGAGGAAAGTTCAGAGTTAGAAAGGAAAAATGAAAGCAGTTTAAAGCAATGTAAAAAGAAAAATGTTTATTAGCTATTAAAGAATAAAACCTTTGTTTTTGCAAGGAGGTGCTAACCAAGATTCTCTCCAGAAAAGCAGAATTGGCATAAAGAAAAATTTTCTTGGAAACAGAGTTCAGAAGTCTTACAGCCAGACAGAACTCTCCATGAAAGAAACAATCAGCAAGCAACAGCATAAAAAAAATGCAATCCTAAGTAGAGACATCATTGTTCATAAATACTTTTGGTCTATTTCTTCAAATATAAATTTTTACACGCATTACTGAACATTCATTATACCTTTTAGTTTTATCTGTAAGAGTGATGATACTTTCCTTAACCATCTTTCATTTGTGTTTTTTTTTATCTTCCCCCTTTGTGCTTACACACAACCCAACTACTAGGAGATGGGCAGGGCAGAAGTGAGAGCCGGCAGCGATTCCCACCGGGCCCGTCCCCTGCCCCGCTCTGCCTGCACAGGAGCACACGCCCAGGGGTGACCGATTCTTTCTTCTGTCCTCACCACATCACTCTTCTGCCACTTTAAAAAGGACATTTTCACATTCTTTCATCTGCCGCAGCATTTTGGGCCTTGAGTCCCGGTTTTACTTTATAACATTAACCATACCCTACTGCCTTCAAAGGGAATTAAATACATAAACCATTTGGTCCAGTCAGGAACTGTGCAGCCATCCAAATTTTACTGTCTTCCCAACACCACTGACCACCCAGGACAAGATTCCGGCACTACCGGTCCTTGCCGATAGCCTGACTGAGAGCATGACGAGGAAATCAAGCCCAAGTCTCCCTCATCGTGTATGTGGAACAGGAAGATTTTATTTTATTCCAATATCAATGCAGAGGAAAGGTACTATTCTACCTTTTTTTTTCCAAAGGGCAGTTTTAAAAAGGATTTTTATGTGGTTAAAAGTTGGCACCACAGTGAAAGGGTAGACTGTTTTTGTTTTCCATCTTTTAATGCACATTTCCAATATTAAAACTATTATTGTTTTGGAGATGAGACTGCATTCATTTGAAAACACTTTCAGAAATGATAACTGACCTTCCAGTAATATTTAACATGCACGGCATGTGGGTTTATATCAAAACGTAATGACACAATTCTTCCCAGACTTTAAAAGATAAATGTGTTCAATACTGCCATACTGGGAAAAGTCAGTCCTAGTGAAATTCCCTTCTGGTTTTCAGTTTTAGTTTCAGGTATGTTCTAGAGAGGAGGCAGGCACGGGACATATTTTATTCTAACAGTTTCTGAGAACTGCTTGCACTGGGGGATAAGCACAGAATGCAGGGAGTTGTGACATTCACCAAAAGAACAGCTAGGAAGAGCACAAAGTGGAATCAAGCTTGTATATAAAAGCAATTAAGCTTTTAATACAAAAGCGGGTTCCACCAGTGAACTACTACTTGTAGTTCAAGTTGCCATATTTGGTTCTTTCAAATTAACTTGAAAGAAAAAAAACCCAAAAGCTATTTTTGCAAGATACATTGCGGCTCTGGTTTTGGCTCTATTACATAACAAAAATATCACATACAAAAATAGACTAAAATAAAGTGCCCCTTTAGTCTATATGCTGCATTAAAATATTTAATACTGTAAACCTTATAATTATTTTAAAATCCTACTTTAAAATTGAGTTCTGGAAATTCCCTTTCCAAGCGATGTTTTCACTAAAGTGCAAATTTTATGTACAAAAATACTGTAACAGTGCTTTACCATTTAACACCAGAGTAACTCAAAAGGCACACGTCATACATTCAAGAAAAGATAGGAAGAGAAAGTAGCAAGAGGGCTGTCAGAGAGTTGCAGACTTAATGTAGCACCAGAGGGTGAGCACTCAAGTATTCCACGAGAAACAGTATGATGGTGCGTATGGCTTCTACCACCAGAAATGAACTTTTTGTGGAACAAGCTACTTTCAGCTTATTCTCATTCCAGGAATATTTTGGAAGACCAACTGTACCTTGCAAAGCAATATGTACATTCTCTCAGTAGCTCAAACCAGCCAGGCATATTTAAATGAGAAATGTTGGTGCCATTAGCTACATTAGTAATTGTTTGTCAACTGCGTTACTAAAGCAAAGCAGAAGGCAGTTGGCTTCACCCTGATGACAGCAAACTCATCCATCGATATTTACCCTCACATAGCTCCCAGCAAATATACAATTGTCTTGAAATCCTTATTTTCTTCTAGAAATCTTAACTTTGGAAAAGAGGAGTTCTAAAGTAAGGGCAGTGCAGATAATTTAACATGTATATGCAGTGAAAAAGACTAGCCTCCTCTACAACCACATGAAGGTATCATACCCCGTGACAGCAGAGGGAGGGTTTGTGCTTACACATACACATTTACATGACCCTTCCAGCAGGCATTTACATTTAACACACTCAAATATTTACCTCAACTTCTAAAAGAGACTTCGGCAAGTAAAAAGACAAGGAGAGCAGAGCTGTGCTGCCCAATAAAACAGCAGTATCTCCTGGCTGGGACACTGTGCTGCAGCCTGTGTCCCAAACTTCAAAAACATTACTCTAAGGGTACCTTCCTCCTGAATTTGGGCAAGCTCTGTCCCGTCTGGCAGCTCTGCCTCCCGCTGTCAGCCCTGGCTGTTCACACAGATCGGATACAATCTGACGCAGATATTTCAGAGACTGTACCAACTAGTCTCTACATTCTACTGTCATATAAACGGAATAAAAGGTTAAGATATTTTCAAAAAAAGACTTAGCCAACTTTTTATTTCAACTACCTAATTGAATAATCTGTCTAAAAAAATATTGTAGCCAAGATGGCATGGGAAAGAATCTCCCCCCTCTCCAGTTTAACACATTCAGATTTTTGTGTCAATAGTGCCTGTATTTGTTATGAATGAAACATTTTACTAAACATTTGTAATGTTTAGTAACCAAGGCTTTTTGTACAGACTACAGAAACACATTTCTGGTTTATAATAATTTTGGACGACAGGTCCATTAAATGACCTAAAATATTGATTTATGATTTAGCACAGAGCTTTTGAACCAAACTACCTCCCTCCCTTAAAACAAAGGCATTTTACTATTTGAAACAGAGTTGTTACTTTTACTTCTTAAAATAAAATTAGGACACTCAAAAATACTCCAGTATTTGTTACCTTCAGCCTGTCAGTGAAGTACTGTGCATTATACCAGAAAACAGCTTTACATTCAAAATGGCCAAACTGGCAATAGACTTTTTTCATATATATTGCCTGCTACATTTTCTGCATGGGGAACTTTTCCTCATTTAACCTCATAATCAAGTATATACTTTTAAATTATCTGTTGCTCTGCCAAAGAAAGCATTTGAATGCCTGAGTGTCTATAGTACTTTTATTGTTTTAACTTTAATTTCCTAGAAGATTAGTTTAAAAATAAATTTTAAAAACATCTATTCTTAAGGAGAAAATTCAGGAAATAAATTTGGTTTATTTAGTAGAGTTCATCTGGGATATTGACATGAGATTCAGTGTTGCCCCTTGAGTATATTCCAGCCCCAATTTGGTAAAAGACATAAGCACACGCAATCCTTATGAATCAGTGTAAAATATGTAAGGGCTTTACAGGAGCGAGCCAAGAGGACTCAGCACTCACTCCACCTTAAAAACAAGGTTTGCCTTTCCCTACTGCCATAGTGGTGTAGTGGCAGGTTTTTAGCTGTATAACTTGACAATCAAGTGTGCCTTCATTATTGATATTTGCATGAGAATAAGTTAGGTCCCTATGGAAGCATACCATAATAGAAGAAATGGCTTGCATAAATATCACATCAGAACATAATGTGAATTGGGACTGAGTGCCCAAGAATAACATTGCACATATTCATTAGATGTAATTTGCTACTTTCTTACACCAGTTGGCTCAAATGTCTGCCAATTCTTTCCCGCCCCCTCCCCCCCATCAAATGGTAAGACACTATGCATACAAAAATACATACTTCAGAATGACTGTTTGGTTTCTTATTTGTATCTTAAATAAAAATATTTTAAAATAAAATTTGAGGAAACAATACTTTTCTATTTCTGTCTGGAGTTATTTTGAAATATTGATGTACATTTTTACATTGGTGTGCAAGCATTTTTTTTCTTAAAAAAAGAAAAAGAGGACCATTCCACAGGAAGGAGAATGGTATCCTGTAATAAGATGAACTCCTCAACTGTCTCTGAGCAGCCTGGGTCAGAAGGCTGTTATTAAATAATGTCAGGTAAATCCTAACATTGCGTGAATTTCAATGGAACATCAACAGGAGAACACTGTGGACAACTACCAGCAAAACAGGTTGGTAACAGCTGTAGTAACATACACTACTATAATAATGTACTTTAAACACTCTCCTTTCAGTTCCTCTAAATAACCTGACAAACTCACACCAGTGAATTTCAATGAAACTTTAACACATGTCAGTTGTCTAAAAAAAACATTACTGTATGAACCTAGCTTAAGTTTTCTTCAGGTCCTAAGAATCTAATTGTAAACTGATAAATTCCTGAATACACTTCTTATACTGCATTTCAGTATGGTTATTGGTAGAGTATTGACCTGGCTGTCCATAGAGTCCTTCCGATTCACGCATTTCTTCATTCATCCGTGCTAAACGCAACCTGTGATTTAGGAAACAAGAAGAACGATGTCATCTTTAAAGCATTAAAAAAAGACTGCAGTTCAGGACCTACAATGCACTCCTGAACCTCACATCAGTGAGGTCATCTATGGATAGTGCACACTCTGATTCTTCTTTTCCTCTCCCTGCTTTTATGTAATGCAATTTTGACATTCCTTATATTTTTAACTGGAAACAGAATAGGAGAGCTTAGTTACCTGGTCAAAAACAGAACACACAACTTACAGCGTTACAATATCTGCATTTGCAGCTTCTACTGCTATACTCAATGGATCTTTCCCATCTTCGTCGGTGGCATGCTGGTTTGCTCCTCGTTTTAGGAATAAACACACTTGCCTGTTTGGTAAAAGCATTTAAGAATAATTTTCACAACAATAAAGGAAAAAAGCAAGTAAATTCAAGCTGGATGCAATGTAATTGGCTTAAATCATCCAAAGTATCTTGAACGTATCAGAACAGCATTATTCATCTAGAAAAAACAAGACATTAACACAGCAGTAAGCAAAACCTTGAATTAATCCACATTAAAAGGCAGCTTAACTCAAAACACACCATTGCAGCAAGGAGCAGAACCCTTCAGAAGCCAGACTCTTCCTTCCCACGTCACCTTAGGCTGTAGAACCAGAAAACCTAATCCCTTTTTCCATGACAGGCTAGAACCACTGAGCAGGATAAATCAATACAGGAAAGGACACAGTTCACAGGTGCCTGACGTACCCAGTAGAAACTGATCTCATTTCTCTCTGCTGTTATAATTCTTCTCCATCCCATAACAAACAGGGCACACTGACTGAGTTCACATCTTAAACTCTCCCAGGTTGTTGTACTCTAAATAGAATTCATACATGCAAAGAACTTGGGCACCACCAACCAGATTATTATTGTCCTCATTTGAGCTGAGCTAGTACAGGGTTTCAGCTAAAAGCCACGATTCCAAAATACATTTTGAAGTGAGATATACTCTCAATGCAACACAATCAGGATAAGTCAGAAAAAGCCTTGGCCCTCACACACCACTATTTTTCTTGTTTGTGTCATATTTCTTAAAAAACAAGAAAAACCTCATGAGTTTTCACCAGAAGTTCATGCTATTTCAAAGTCATTTTAAATATATGTTTTTTACAAAATGGACCAAAGTGTGTTTACAGGTGTTTTGCTAGCAGATGAGACTGATAATTCAAATTGTCATTTCCTCTCTCACCACAAAAGTCTAAGAAAAACCCGGATCACCTGAAACATACTAAAATGCCAGAATATTTGGGGAAATTAAGAAGCTTTACGTGAACATCTATAGCAAAGGCTGGCCATTAACAAACTCTGGAGCAGGGAGTTACCCAGTGTGTCCTAGGACCGTGGCGTGGTGCAGCGGCCCCCTTCCCTTCATGTCCCTGATGTTCACGTTGGCCCCGTTCTGCAGCAAGAACTCACACGTAACCAACGAACCCTACAGAAAGAAAGCAAAGAAACAATTCAGCTCCAGAGCTCTACAATCAGAGCCAAACCTGTTCTGCCTTCCCACCACTGAGTCATGTGGCAAAGGAAATACAAGGGATTTGCTTCCATATCAAATTTAAACGCTACTAGGTTAGATAACTCCAAACAAAGCATTAACGGGGGGGGGGAAATAGTTCAGAAACAACTTTGAGAGAACACTGTAAAGACAACTTCAGCATCCCATTATCATTCATTAGTGAAGCAAGCAGTTTAAAAGGAACAGTGACACAGAAATATCCCTATTATTCCCCTTCCCTCCTCCCCGTCAGCTGGTGCTGTGTATCACGTACCCCTCGCACGGCCTGAATGAGTGGTGTTGCTTTGTTTTCCTCTACATTGACCCAGTTTACTTCAGCTCCGTGGGCCAATGCTTCTGCCATATCAGGAAGATTCTTCTCAAAGGCAGCTCGATACAGCTGCAGCCCTGGACTAGGCTGTTTGGAGTCACAGAACGCAGAAGACTCTTGCTTGTCTCCTTCTGAAAAGAAAAACAAAACTTCTCATCTGTAATCCCTGTTTTTATAAGGTACCTCTTGGAATTCTGACCAAAAAAATGTAGTTTCTCTGGCATAAAGTAGCTGAGGTTTTGCAAAACGCTGTGCACTGCTGCTCCAGTCTGCCAGGAGACACCACAGATGCCTTTAGCCTGTTCCAGCATTTGGGCACAGCCACTTCACAGAATTACTACTGCCCAGAAAACATTCCCTCCACACTACTGGCACGTGCAAGTGCCCTTCGATCTACCTATTCCGTAACATTTCAAAAAAATTATTATAGAAGTGTGGTGTGTTTTATCCTATGCTGAAAGATATGAATAAGACTAATTTTATGCAGAGATGCAGTCATACAAATACATTCTTATCTGCAACAGGCTGATATGCCTAAGTAAGAGGCTAATACCATTCTGACCTAAATTTTGTTAAAAGATACCATTGTCATTGACCAATTACTCACTGTAGCTGTAACCTTTTTGACTAAAGCGTAATCTTTCTTTTCATCTCAACAAAAGTTATGAAGAGTGAAGTCTGGGAGATAAAGACATAGTTATACAGAAGCTTTCCTGAGCTGTTACAGCATCATGTTTCTACAATGCAGTCAGAGAAAGGGTCCAAGGCACATGCTGCTTTGCCTACACACCACAGCTCTGAACTACGGGATTTAAAACATACCTCAGAAAAGTGCTTGGACACAGAAGAATAAATTTGCTTTACAAATAGATGTTTTGGATATTTTGACAAGCCACACTCAATACATCTGACAGCTCAGGATGCTAATACTAGACAGCAAATAATTTCATCTATCAATTTATAAAACTTTGAGTAAAGAAGGGGTAATGTTTAAAGACATGGTCAATTCCACATAAGCGGAAAATAGAAAAATTAAGCAAGAATGTTCAAATAACACATAAAAGCCTATTATCTGTGACATAACAGGAATTCCATCTCCAAGGATTTAACTATTATAAAAGGATTAAGCATTTCTGTGGAGACTTGTCTGTATCAAAATGCAGCATTGGGCGCTCTGCTAAAAAACAGAGTTCTGGCTCAGTATCATCTGACTGGAAAAAACCCATAATTCTCTGAACTCATTTAGAAGGATTCCATGTCATACTTGCTACCACGCCTGGAGGAGGGAAAGGTCACTCAGGCAATCATTGCCCTTGTTAAAAATATCTCAGCCCACCAGGAAAGAAGAGACAGGAATTGTATTTTTCCTAAGAGCATGGTACCAAGCAGTAGTGACTAAGTTTTCATCTTGAAGAAGAAAGGCTAACATACCTGGTTCATACAAACTGTTCACTGATGTAGTAGAGGCAAGGTGTTCTCTGCTGTCATCAGCACTCTGCTGGATCCCACTGTCACTGCTTTGGACTGTTTTGGAGAGAAACCGTAATTACTACGCAGACTGTAAGCTACTGACTCTTCACAGATACCATGATAATAAAGCAAGCTCTTATACTTGGTCCTGAATATATATTTTTTTTTATTGACTAGTGATTATAATTCATATTCTTAGCATACCCATAGAAAAATACGAAGTCACATATTGAAACCGTAACATTTATAATATTAGTAATAAATGTCAAAGATTATTAGAAAGTAAAAGATCAGGATAAGTAAAAAAGCTTAAATTATTTCATGAAAACACGAAGCAATGCAGTAGCCTGGAAACAATGGATTAAAGGCAGGGAGATGGCCACAACACACAATGGATCACTAGTGCAGACACTGAACACGCCACAGCTGTAGTACTTACTACTACGTAGTTTTGAAGAGGTATCAAAGTAGGAGAAGAGTGAATCTAGTTCATCAGGACAGAACAGAGACTCCCGCCTCGCCTCGTCGCTACTTACAGCAACCGCTGGGACATGCAGGTTAGCAAAGCACAAAGCAGGCAGTAAGGAAGGGATAGGGCAGGAGAGAACGTTATTGGAAAAATTAAGAAGGATGAAAATAAGGAGGAAAGAAGGTGGTTATTATGTTTCTGAATGATAAGCATCCCCACTCTAAGTTCTTCCCCACCTAATAATGCACATCTCTGAAAAAGTCTTTTCTCCCCTATCCTTCTGAACTAGGCTATGACCCAAAGACAAATTCCAGTTTCTCTGCATGAGACAGGAAATCAATTAATACAAAAATATGTTACTTTAAAAAGAACATGCGTAAGGACAGAAGTGTGTAAATACCTTTTTGGGATGCCGCACTTTGCTCCCCAGCCAAAAGGGGTTTTTCAGGGCCGCTGTGCCTTTTCTCTTGTTGACTTTGAGGCAAAACTTTTGTTCCAGATTCCAGCAGAGATACTGACGCAGGCTGTCTCTCTACAAACTTTCTTTCCACATATTTTGCTCTGATGTATGTCTCCCTCTCCTGCCTGTCATATACAAAATCCATGGAATTAGTAAGCTAATATTTTAATATTTTCCTGTATTAAAAGAACATCCATTTCATACTAAAGCCAGTAATCAAAATTGTAGTTTGGCATTGCACACAAGACATACTTACGACATTTTCAGAAAGACTAAGGGCACACTACCTAACTCTTTATGGATTCTTGATTAAATTTTGCATGTCTCAAAAGTAAATTATTTTGTTAAGTTCATACATGTATATTTTCTCTCAGCCAGAGACATTAGTGGTATGTGGAAGAAATAAGCATTCATTACTGTATGTTACTTAGAATAGACTTTCAGCTGGAAGGGACGTACAAAAGTCATTTAGTCCAACTACCACTTCATGGTATTAATCCTTTACACGTTTGACATCGTTAATAACCAATTAATATAGCATATGTTTAGTTTCTTAGATAAATACACATCACAACATTTGTTAAAGGAACATGCAGATTGCACAAGAGAACCATAACAGTAATAAAGCTCAGGTAGGCAACAAATACAACAAATACAAAACATTTGGAAACTATCTATCTTCAAACGCAAATTAGCATCAGAGGAATGGCAGACAGCAGAGCAATCATTAGCAGGCTGCTGTGAAGCAGCAGAGCTCATGTACAATGCAGGCAGAAAGAAGAGAGAATTCTGGGGATCAAGGAACAAAAGTCAAACTCAGAACAAAGTCACTGTAAACAAAAGGCAGAGCTGCAGGCTCCTTCCAGGAGCACTCACAGACCCAGTACAGCTGGCTTAGATGGTACAAAGCAGGCAGGAAACAAAAGCAACCTGCCCAGTTGATGAGAGAGAGCAGGATGCTACAGTTACCATCAAAAGGAGGGAGCGAGATCAGAAAAAGTACAAGGGACCAGGAGGGACCAACAGGAGGAATCCCCAACAAAGACAGAGTGAGAAAAGGGAGAGAGCAAAACATACTGGTGATAAGGGGAAACAGAGTACATTAAAGGAAAGTTACACAGTTAAGCGGCAGCATCTTTAAAAGCTGGAGGCTGAAGGAAGCAAGAAAAAGAAGGAAGAGGCACTGCTAGTAAATTGCTACCTTGGGCTTCCAGGTTGTAGCTTCTTCACTCCCACTTTTTCCAACTTCGCTTCATATATTCTATTTATAACATCATTTCCCAATTCACACATAAGCTATGAAGCAAAATAAATAAATTCAAATACAGTTGCAAAAGGCTTTATCTACCTATGTAGTTGTTTTTAACCTCAGCCTATTTTTGTAGCTTACTATTTTCACTGGTAAAAGTACACTTAAAGAACGAGCAAGGCTTTATATCATGATAATGAAACCATTACTGAATAGAGAAATTAAATTTCAAGTAAGACAGCAAAATACCATAGTCACTCTTTTAAAAGTGCCATTCCCTTCTGAAAAAGGACTGCAAAAATGACCATCTGTCATTCAATAATCTTTTTTGTGCAATCAGAATGACATCTGCAGCCTCATTAACAAAGGCACTTTTCCCCACCAGCTTTGCTGGTAGCTATTCTTATCCCATCGGCAAGAGATGATTCAATCAATTCTATTCCATCTTGTTCAACAGACATTTTTGCTAAACCATAATCTGTTATGTCTACAGAAAAGGACAAGAGATAAAAACAGGCCACAGATACTACTTTAAGGAGAATTTGGCCCATAAAGTCCCACTTACTGATGGAAATTAATAGACTTCTTGCTTTCAAGACCAGGTAGAATATTGAGCTCTGGTACTTACCTAAACAGGACAAGGGGTGTAGTTTTGGGGTTTGTTTCCTCAGCATGAACACATTGATATTAAAATTATTTAAGGTCAAGCCACAAGAAAAGCACCCCCCACTCACATGGTCTTTGGACTGTTCAGAATAGAGAAGCAATACCCAAGTACCAGAACACCACAGCTAGAAACACAGGCTTTGCATCAGTTATTCAGCTGCACACACACACCCCTGCCTGAGTTCCCATTTCGGTATTTCAACGGCACATCATTTTCAGAACCATGTTTCAAACTGGAATTTTGGCACACAGCACACGAGCAGCTGCATGAAAGTTCTCCTAGAAGCCAGCAGGAGTATGAAATCAAGATCTCAGTGTAAGAGCCAGCATCTGAATTTTCAAGTACAACCATGGTTTAGGTTGATAGAGCACTTTAAAATTTTTCAACCCACTAATATTATTAGTTTGTGAACAGTTTCCATTTTTATACCTTGAAAATATCAGATGAAACTTAATACTCAAAGTGCGTTTGTGAACCCGAAAGTTGTTCAGACTTGCAAGTTTGTAACAAGAATGACTAGTGCTACTTCATGTATTAAAAGAAAGAGTAAATTAAGAAAACAAACACCACACAACTAGAAACACTTCTGAGTATAAGATCTAAGACTCGCATTTGTACCTCGTTCATGTGTTTCCTGCATTGAAATTTCTGATGCTTTAAAACAACAAAGTACCAAAGAGAAACTTGTTTCAAAAATACTATCATACCTTTAGAAGTTCAGGTTCCCATGAATCCAGCGTTAAAGATCTTACTTTTGAAAAGTGGACTCCCAAGCTCCTAAACAGCATGAAAAAAATACATTAATTTACCTCAGACAGCTTTACCATTAATTCATAGAGATAAAGCAGTGACATTAATTCTGTTTACAACAACTAGGGGTCTCTAACCTTGCTTCAATATACATTTGAAGAGGCAAGCACCACCCTTCCTCATTAAATCAATGCACAACCCAAATATAGTTCTGAAGAGCTCTCCGACCTGTGTATCCCAGAGCACTCGATGCAGAGGGTGATGCCCAGGTTGATGCTGGCCCACCGAGGATCAGCCAAGCCACAGTCGCAGCAGGCGGCGTTACCAGGAATGCACTGAACGCGCTGGAGAGCGCTTTCGCCCTTCAACAACTTCTCCTTTGTCTCACTGCCAGATTCTAGGCTTCCAGTGGAAGGGGAGGATTTCTTTTCCTGTTTCTAAAAAACAGACAAGAAACAAATAAAAAAAAAAAGAACACACACTATATTAAAGAAATAAAGGTCCTACAGTGTACTGAAATCCTAGAAAAGCAACTTCTGCATTTAAGGCCAAGGAAAGCCATAGAACTGAAAAAATATTTAGCTTTTTAGAAGAAATACAGAACTGAATATAGGAGTATCCAATAATCCTATGAATTTTAATCCCACTACAGGAAAATCTCATCAAAACATATAGGCCAAAGTAACATTACTAATATGGAGTGAAAGACAGATTAAATATAAATTTTAGCCTTCAAAACTTTATTGCATTTCCACTGGAAGACAAACAGATTCTTTTTTCCTCAACATCTCGTAAAAAGAATTTTTCCCTGTTTTTATTTTTCAGGACATAAAGGGGGGTTGTTGTTTGTTTAGACTTTAAACTCACCTCAGATTCATCCCCTTTCTCTCTATATGCTGTAGCAATACTGGTCTGAACAGCCTTAATCCAGGCCTGTCGCAGCTTCTCCGAGTCAGCCTGAAGCATGCAGCTCCTGTGACAAACACACGTGTACACGGATTCAGAGACCGACCAAGCAGCGAACATCAAGCAACACATTATTCAGTAAAATACAGACTCTTGAGAAAGTTTCTTGCTGTGACTACAAATACATTGTTTAATAGGCATCATCTGGGCAAATGGGCATAAACCCATTTGTTTTGAGATAAAGTAGCTGGCCCTTTATGGATTGAAAACTTCTTGTTTCAAAACTATTTGCAGATAATAGGACATAAAGACATGACTCTTCAAATAACGCAGAGAATGGCTTAGCTTCCTATTCCCTTTCTTTTTTTACTCCAAATTTTTCATTTTTGTATCCTCACATGCAATTTACCCCCTTGACAGTTGCACAAGATACAGGTATCAGTCCTTGATCACAGTTCAATCACTGAGATCAAGATAAAATTATTTTAAAACTCTCTGACAAAGCATGAGCTACTTTTCACACCAACAGTCAAAGGAAACAGGTCATGAAGTATAAAACTGTTCCAACACTTACGGGCTCCAGCAAGCAGGAGCAAAATGCATGCTAAAGTGAAGCACAACTGAGGATGCAAACATTAGGACAGCAGTCTATTAAGGAGTGGGGAGCACAGGTAACATCCGAAATGAAAAGCAGGTTGACCTTAGATCAAAATTTTTTAAGTGGTCTCATCTCAAAATCATGAATGAGAAATCAATGTCCTGTGCCCTGGCTGGGGGAGGACTGCCCCACTTCTCCAAAAATAACCAATGCACCACACTGCTAGAGCTGAAACTACCAAATAAAAACACTGTTCATTTAGTGCATTCTGAAATGCTATTTTACACTACTGAGACAACAACTTATTAATATGTTTCCCTCTCATTACATCAATCAGAAGTTTGGAGAAACTGAGATCTATTTTCTACATTATTAAGCAGCTTTGGTAGTCTCAGCTCCTGCTCACCCACAGCAGCTCCACAACCACAAGCCATTTATGCACAAGGCACAAGAATGCATGTTTACTTTCATGCCAGAAGAAAACTAAATACTAGGAACGCTTCTCACAGCATCACTTAATCTTTGCCAAAATTGCAGAAAACAGAATTGTTCAGATACTTTTCCTGTTTTGATCTATCCCAAGAGAAATGTTAATCTTGCACTTCAAGACAACTGAATGATTTTTTATATATATTTTTAAATAAATATGCTCTATCACTACTTCTTACTTTGTTGGAGAAACCACTTCAAAACAGAAACGTCTTTCTATGTCTTCACAGTGTTTAACTGTACAAAGCCGCAAATCTTCAACAACTACTGTGGGATTATCCTAAGAGACAAAAATTTAACAAAACAAGTCACATAGAAGACAGACAATAAAGTTGCTAATACTCCCAAATTATTTTTCATTTAATTCTATTTGCTTGTTTACACAAATTTTTCCTCCAAAAATAAAACTGTAAATAAGTGGAATCAGAGGTACTTAGAAAATATTTAGATAAATTTCAATGTTTTGTTATATTTTATGAAAACTGAATAGAAACGTTGGAGAATTCCTTTTTACCTACAACCCAATCTACTTAATAATTAACACTTTAAATGACAGTATCCAAGGAGTTCAAAGACACTTTCTAAGAGATGCAATTAGCTCACACATAAATCACAAAGATTGTACCAAATCAGCACTATTAAAAATGCCAATTGAAAAAAACCTATAAGCCAGATGCTGCGGTTTTGAAAATTTGATTCAATTAATAAGAATTCTATTCTAAGGTAACAGCATTTGAAAGGAGTGCTTTTGAAAAATAAAAAAGCAATTGGAATTCACAAACACAAAATGCCCAACTCAAATGTGCTCACACAAACTCAACCGTTTGTTTCCTTTCCAACCACAAAAACACAGACCCCTCACTGACAGCATCAGCTTACAAGGAACAGTCTCTCCATCCGGTCTGTTAACACTGGAGAGAAATAAGTTGTCATAAGCTCTAGACCTTTTTTTTTAAAATTATTTTTCCTTCTCCATACAGTTCTCTAATTTTTTCCAACACAAAGAACAGTTACAGCTTTGTGGTACAAAAGCAGACTCTAAAGCAGTAAAGAAAGGAGCAGAGGTCCAAATGCTGAACGACCCTACATTTCCAGTATGAAATACCCATAGACAGCATCCCTGACTGTTCTTAACAAATGCTTTCACACCTTCCCCCCTGCAAACTGCTACATGGGGTACGTGAACCTAGTAAGTAACCAGCGAGAGCAAGTCCTGAAAGAGTTAAACCCAAGTGCTCAGTGCTGCCAGCAAGTATGTACAAGCCCCTTTTGGGACCAAGGACTTTTAAAGCTCTTAATAAACCTTCTCTGCAAGAAGGTAACAAACCCCACAAAGAGGCAAATAAGGTACATGCCTCCAAGTCGCTGTGCAGGGATCTCAAAATCTGGAAGTGTAGCTCTTAGTCTCATTTTACAAAGGCAGAAACTAATTTAGAAAGTGCAATAGGTTGTTCAAGACCACCCAGGATGCCAGTGTCAGCACTGTTTCTCCTTCCCCTGACCCGTCAGGAAAACCATCACCTGCACCCCAAAACACACCAAGCCCCTTTCTGATACCTACCTTAAATTTCTTCTGGTACACGAGTTGGTTATTCTGTATTGAGAACCAGCGCCTACGCAAACAGAGAGACACCCAGAGGATACGTAACTGATTTTACAGAGCTTATTTGACCAAAACGTGCTAACGTACCGTCTACAGAGAGACCACAGGAAAGTGTTCACAAAAGAAATGCCGCGGTCAGTTTCGGCACGTATTTCGTGAGAATAATGAAAAAAGGGAAAGCAGAGACAAAACCGAAAAGATAGCAAGATTCAAATAATTTAAGTCCTAAACAAACACATTCGTGTTATGACAACATTAGTTAAGCTGTCACACAAAACATTTTCATTTCAAAGAACATTTGCTTCAGTATTTTAGCAGCAAGATACAATTTTAAGTAACTGGTAACACAAATTCAGATAGTTTGACTAACAGAAATACTTCAGCTATGTGAACTGCTCCCTCCTGAGATGTCTTTGAGAGTAGAACTAAGAAATAACTTACTGAGGCACTAAAAATACTACAGTGTTGCTATCCCACGTAAGTTTAATGTCTCTCTATACTTGGCATTGCTAAAAAATTTAGATGCTGAAATAAAAAGACTGCATACAAAACCAAAGAAAACCCATGAAAAACCTTTTAAGTAGGATCTTAACTTAAGCCTCACCTTTGTAGGAAAACATCAAATGAAAGATTTAATTAAGGCACCCTATAAAATCCAGAAGATAACGTAACACTTAACTCCTCTGAACTGTATCCTTCCTTATCAAAGTCACATTTCTGATAGGATACAATTCATACAGAATGGAAAGATAATTCATATTTTGGAAAAAAAATCATGACCACCTCAGATCTGTAACAGCTGTGTTTTATCAGACCACTGAATAAAAAAAAAAAACCCAGCAAATATAGCCAGCCCTTTCTAGCTCTTCTGGGGATGCACAAAACAAATGCTAACCCACCACCACTGGTTTTGAATGGACTAAAATGAAGAGAATATAAAAAAAAAATAATTCAGTCCTACAGTGGAATTTATACTTTTTTTTGTTTGGTTCAGGCTTGTAATATGAACCTGTGTTTATCTCAAATACCCCACTTAGACCACACATCACTTCTTTCTGCGCTGCCAATTAGTCTGAATGGTAACAGTATGCAGAAGACTGTATTGCAACAGATCATCTTATTCTCCGAAGGCTGTTGAACTTCAAGGTACAGTTTACTACAATTAGTAACAAAAGCTACATATATTTATTCAATCATCACAAGGCATTCATGAAAAGAAGCACACCAAGATTGTTAAGAAAAATTAAGATATACAGAAAAAGTTAGATTCAAATCAGAAAATCTAGTATTTGTTAGAAAAGTTAGTACTTAGTAGACAGATGAGATTCTACCTTTTAACAATAATCTTTTCAAATGTTGTGCAGATATATTTAATTTAAAAAAATAACAGGATCTTCTTTTAATAGTGGATTTCCAACATAATAACCATCTTTTTGGGCTAATAATTTTCTTTTTGAACAGAATAATGCAAAAAGTTACTTTTTCAATTTATTAACACCAGTAGTTTTTTAAAGGCATCACCTTCATCATCTATTTAAAAAAACAAAACAAAACACAGATGCACTAACTAAGCATCAAAGATGAGCCTAAGGCAGGTTATTGCTAATATTTAAACATAACTCAACAAAAGAGCAGACTAGAAAAGGAAAATAAACTGAGGCTTTCTTATGTGCTTGTTTTGAACATACCACCAAATAGAAAAACATGAAAATCAGTGCCAAAGTGATAAAAGAAAAAAAATAATAATGCAGCCTTGTCCCAAGGTAACGTGCAATGGAACAAATGCCTAATAACAGCCTTAGGTAGTGTAATTAACTTCATTAATGCAATGCTTTATTTGTTCTACAGATAAATATTTACAGAGTTACTAAAGTAAATGAGCTCCAATCTGATCAACTGCATGTAAGCGAGCACACAAATTGTAAGGCAAATTTGTGTCGTCTTTAAAGCCTAGTCTAGAAGATTTCAAAGTTTTCCAGCCCCTTTTTTTCTTAGTAGAGAAATTAAATCTGTTTGAGAGAACTTTCCAGTCCAGCCAAGAAGTGTGGGATTTTTGATTACTTTTTAAAGAATTTTTTATTGAACAAGATCAATAGTTTAGAAAGTAGTATAGCTTGCAGATCCCACTTTTGAAGTAGATGTCAATGGAAAATAAAATTAATACATTTTACTGTATGATTGAAAAAAAAAATAAAATCTAAGTGGCAGATTCACCTCCAACATGTCAGCACCACAGCAGTTTTATTCAGGGCAAAAACTTTGAGTTATATCATATTAACCAAGTATCATCAATAAACTCATGACTGTAGGAAAGAGAGGGCTGGGGCTCTACGGCAGTAACAGCCAGGAACTTGTGAGGTAGAACAGATGGACTGAAGGTGCTGTTGTTGGGTGCATCACGTCTACCCTGTCCTAAGAACTAACATTCATAAGCCTTTAGGCAACACGTGTGCACTAAGACCCAGCCATTATCTATGTTTCTGTAAATGTGTCATTATGTCAAAAATAGGTGAGAAGAATGGTGAAGGAGAAAACATACTTGGGGAATCTTAAACTAGTCCTCACTCAATAGTGCTTAAATATAGTTTTTTGGGTTTAGAAACTGTTTTCCATCATTTATACGTTTGCAATTCAAAAGAGTATTTGTTAAATAGGAAACAATACAAAAATCATTGAAAAACACTTCCAATTTTTGAAAATTGAGAGTAATGCCAAAAAGAAATATAAAATCTAAATTATTTGAGTTTTACATAAAAAAAAAAGAGAATCATGCTTATTGGTTCTCAAAAGGAAATGGTTTCCTTCACTACTTGCTATCAGCACGCAAATAGAACAGAGTGATTAAGAATGCACAACATTTAAAAGTTACATCTCTATTTCCAATGCAGTTGATAAGAAAAGTCTCACCAACTGCAACTGGAGAAAGTCAAAAAACTGATCTTGTACGCTCAGAAGTTTGAGTGCAGAAACTTTGCTTCAGTTCCTTTTTACCTAGAACTAGCTCAATCTTTCTTATTCTTTTAAAGGTGTTGAGCAGCAGGTACGCTGGCAACCCAGGCAGAATCCTTCTGTTATTTTCTTAGACTGAGCCACTTATACATCCATTGCAAGTAAACAAAATTAAATGCAGGGTTAATTAAGAGCTTTTTGCGTGCCAAGGAAACATTGGGAAGGTATAAAAGAAGCTGTTTGGTACCTGATGTGATCGGGCTTTTTCCTGTCATGTGAAAAAATGGGGTAGGATTAAAACATAAGGGAAAGGAGAAGGAGGAATGAAAAATGCAAAATGAGCAAAATAAGCAAAGAATTAGCATGATCTGAAAATACAGCAGAATTAAAAAGGAAAACATTTACAGCATCCAACCTAAATGCTACTCAGAACATACTAGTGTTTGATAAATACTTTTCTGCTATACATATTTATTCAGGCATATCTTTCTTCATTATATGGACTTTTTTTTCATTTGAATTTCTAGGAACCAAAACAACTTTCCACCTACTGCTCCACAATAACAAATGTACCTGATTTCAGTTCTTGATGCCTTAAGTGGTGTACGGTAAGATATTTCATTTACAGATAGACACATTCCAAAAATAGGTCTCCATACCTGTTACTGTAAGACTTCGCAGTATAAAGATATCATTGTGATTCCACTGAAGTATATTAACTGAAATACTTGTGTACATTATACACCATCCAGTAAATCACAATAAAAAGAGATTGCAAAATCTCCAGCTCTTTCAAAAGGCAGCAACACTGAACTGCAAATAGCTTGTGGTGTACTCTGTAACCTGCTCAAACACTATCTGTTTCTCAAGCCAGTGTCACCCAGAACTATCCCAAGAACAAGAAACTTGATCGAAAGCCCAAATAACTAAAGTCCTCAGACAATTGAACCCAAGCTGCTTGCTAGCCCAGGAAGAAACTACATCATCCTAGCAAGAAATTAGTTTGGATTGGAAACAAGTTTTCATTCATTAGAACAAATCTGTTCCCCTTCAAAGCGCTGCATTAGATGGGTTCCATCTTTTTCTCCCCCAGTAGCCAGACTTTTCCCAGCATAAACCAGCATGATGTCCGTGGATTCACTGACCAAGACATGTACACAGAAGCATCACAATTATCTAATTTGTTAGCTAGAATCATACTCATGTGTGCCAAACCCAGACAAAATTCATTGCACCATTTCCTTTTCTCTTATATTTTTAATGCTGGTAAGTACACACTAATAGTGGTAATTGCAATGACTTTTGGTGCCTTGCATTCAGTCTTAAAGGAGTATTTAAACAGGTGTAAAACCATCAAGATATCAATTGATATCAACAGAGGGACAAGATAAATACATACTACTACTGACAGCATGACAGCGCAATCAGCAATTCACAAGGAAGATCAGTGCCATCACCCTTGGTTCAGAACATCAGGAAATTCCAGTAGTTCTTTCTAGGCAAATTAATTCCCTCTTACGAAACAGATATTTCTCTAAGTGTTTAGATGTTTCCTCCTTTGCTATCTTATTTTTTTGTTTACACACAAAATGCAAAGACACAATCATAGAATTGCCCAGGCTGGAAGGGACCTCCAAAGGTCATCTAGTCCGACCTCCCCGCAGTCAGCAGGGACACCCCCAACTAGACCAGGTTGCCCAGGGCCTCGTCAAGCCTCTCCTTGAATATCTCCAGGGATGGGGCCTCAACCACCTCCCTGGGCAACCTGTTCCAGTGCTCCACTACCCTCACAGTAAAGAACCCCCTTCTAATCTCCAATCTAAATCTGTTCCCCTTATTGTTCCTCAATCCTTATTTGTACTCTACCTAATGACTAAAAAAACCACTCTCACCTTTAACATACAGTAAAATTTAATCAGTACTATCTCCCTGCAGCTGAAACAGAACACTACAGAAGTAAAGCATTCCATCAGTGAAAACAGGCAGCAGAAAGTGGCAATGACCACTTCAGTGCCTACAACGTAGCAAGCAGTTACAAATGTATTCAGAAATAAAAATAGGATAAAAATATTTCTTTAATTGAATGAAAAACAGGGCTAGATTCAAAAACTAATAGTTGTCTTCATTAAGATCTTAAATATATATTCTATGTCAGATAATAGCTGGAGTAGTTTCATAACAACTAGTAATGATTTAAGTACAAAATTAAAATGACTGATTCAGTTCCTAAATTGTATTTATAGATAGCATATCTAATGCTATTCTCTGCCTAATTCTGAAGTATCCCACTAGCCTATCAGTGAGATAAATTATCAAGAATTTAAAATTAAAAAGGCTAGAGGTTGAGCCTTATTGAATACTCCTGTGACAAACAGGAGAAAAATTATAAGCAAATATAAATTATATAATAAAAGTAGGTAGCTCTGACTCATTGCTGAGCTGTTTACCTTGGCTCTTTCAAATAACTTATTGTTTGGATATGTTTTTATTATAATTATATACGTTCAAACCTGTAACAACCTGAAAGAATGTCATTGTGGGTCTTGATTTAATTTTGACTTCGCTGTGTTTGTGTCCATTCAGATTTCCAACATACAGAAGTTAGTTCTAATTGAATCCTTCTCTGTAACCTTCTTAAGACACATGTACACTATTATCAGGTATGAAGCCACATGTAAGAAGAGATTTCCCAGCTACCTTCCAACACTCCTCTCCTGCTCCCCCCATCACCTCCCTACAGAGCGATGGCGTGATGCTATCCAAAAGAACACCACAGACTGAGCCAGAGTTTTGCCTTCAGTCACTTATCAAGAGGCTGCAGTCAGTCCTGCACAACACCTTACAAAAAGGACCCTTTCAGCCTGTTAAGAACTCAATAAAGGGCACTCTCCTGCTCCATTACTGCAGATTTTCCTCAGTGTGCTTACACTAACATTTTACTTCAGACCAGGAACGTGCTTCTGAAGCATATCTCCCGGTTTTCTCCCTTCACTGCCCTTTCTCTTGGAAAACTCTGAATTCTACATGGATGAAACGAACCCAGAAGGTACATTACAAAAGCAGACAGATAATGAGATCACAGGACCAGACCAGAAGTAGACCAAAGCAAAAATCCCTTACACTAGTTGCACGTGACTTGCTAATACAGATAGAGTCTTATTGACACCCAACAGCCCCTTGTCTGTGGATTTAAGTGAAGCAATCTCAATTTGTTATAGACCTGTGACGTTCCAAAGATGCTCAAGGAATTATAGAATAATTGAGGCTGGAAGGGACCACATATCCAAATGCACATTCTGGCCTTTGGAACACTTTGAATAGTTTAACAGCAGCACTGCTGCAAAAACGGCAGAGCATAAGATAGCAAGAAGAGCTCTATACCATAACAAATTGATTCAAGAACTGTATCCAACTATACTATATATGCTCCAGTTTATATAATATTTCATTTAAAAAAAACATGCACCCTTGGAAACGCAAAAGAAATTCTGTTCATGGAGAAAAATATTTAAGCAAAAGTAAAATATACATTGTTAGAAAGACATGGCTAACAATATACTTTGAATTCCCAACAGGATAAACAAAACTGTTACGCAGAAGTCGCTGCAAAGAATATGAATTGTGAAGCATAAAAATTCCATGCTGATCTTTCAGGAAAATAACTGGAGCCCTAGAGTACTTGAGTCCGTCACTGTGTCTCCCTGCCTCCAATGGCTATAGAACTTCCCTTTCACTTTATTTTCTACCATTTTGTTTCCCAGTTTTTCCCAGTTTCCCATTCATATAGCTTATGCAATACAATCCTAAGCATTGCTCTGTTTCAACCCTGAAGGAAGACCAAAATGCAATTACAGAGCCAGACTGTGCACACCATACAAAGGACTTCTCCAGACTAAGACATACTCTTAGAAAAAGGCTTGCAAACAATTAGGATAGAAAATAAGGAAAAGAATGGCTTTGAAGTGTCATCTCTATGTTAATTAACAATGTAGTCCAAGTGTTCTGTCAACACTGTGGAATCAGTGAGTTGCACAGATTTTAAGTCAGATCAGAATTTAGCATAACAAGCAGTATCTTAATAAGCTAGTAAATAGAAGTTCTGAATAATTACCTGTTCCAAGTCTTGAAGGCATTGCTGGCTCGCTTAAATAGATAGCCTTCCATAAAAATACCATTGGCTGCATCTACATTGTATTCTAGTTTAGTATCATCACTGGAATAATCCTAGTACAAAGGAACAAGACAAGAAAAAGACATTGCAGTTTCAAACAGAAATTCAAGTATGGGCAGTATTAATGTCAAAATGAGTAAACATTCAGGAATAAAGTGTTGCAAGCAAAACGTATTAGTCAAGCCATAACTCTCAGCTCCTGATTATTATTTTTTTTAAAAAAAGCATTTTTAGGAAATCAGAATGCTGATTTTTACTTTACCTGCACACAAGGGGAATTTCTTTCTCAGATATCGGTGACCTCTATGGCCAAGCAGAGGGCAAATATTACTGACAGAGCGTCTGATGCTTCAACTGTCTGCTCAAATGGTCTCACATATATTGCAAAGAAAGGGGACAGTAAGGTAGAAGAAAAGGGGCAGTGGGAATTAGGAGTCAAAACTGCAAAGCAATTGCAGCCTCCTGCAGACAACTGTGCAAAGCCAGTTGTGCTTTAGCATTTTCTTCAGCTCTGTCATCTTGACAAGCGAGCCGGATCAAAACTTAGAAGATAAGTAACCAAATAAAGAAGATGCTATCACTTATCTCTAAATGAAAGCTGTCAGGGTGCTGCTAATGATGACAAGAACATAGCAGTAATTTTTACTTTATGATCTTTGACAAGAACATGAATCTAGAAGTAGGACATGGGAATATACATTTCAATCAATCTAATAACAAATAATAACAGCTAATAACAGTTAATAACAGCTTTACAAGTTCTAGAATGGTTAACTGCTTCACATCTCCAGCAAAGATAAGAGCAGACTAAAGTAATACATGTGAATGAGTATTGGCTTTCATATCTCCTCTGAAACAGCATGGTCTCCTCCCAGGGAGCTAGGGAGCTCAGGTATCCAGTGAGTGGGAGGTTAACAGCTACTGGGAGTGCATGAAAAAGCACCCATAGAATTACATCATTTATCACAAGCTATGTGCAGAGAACAAATAATATGCATGCTATTATTTAATTTCACTGCTAGTAAGATATACCCTTAAAGTAGGCTAGCAACATATGGCTAGTCTAGTCTTCCCCTTAACTAGGGCAGAAGAGACATCGCTGCAAATTAGGTTTCAGAACAGAAGACAGAGGTTAAATACTGAAGTCTCAGGACATTTCAGGATGTCACTCTCCAATACCTTTAGCAGGTATTTTTTGCAAATTGCAAACATAACCTTTGTGTGAATACTATGTCAGTAAATTTCTGTTTTGTGCTTTGCTCCTTAAGGTTTTTTTCTATACATATGGGAAAAGAAGCTATACCAAAACCCCGCAAAAAACCCAGCTTCAAACCCAATACCATTAGTCCTATATAATATTCCAATCTGCATAACTTTTCTGTGCACACTATGTTTACTCTATACATACAGATGGTATGGTCCAATCCAAGGTTAATTAAACAAGACAGTGAAGAGGTTACAAATATCAAAAAGGGCCCTTTACACTTCCAGGCCAGCACAGGACTAAATTCCTTGAAATTACTTGTAGTGTTTTCAGCTATTAGCAATCTGAACAGGTTAACTAAATTTGAAATGTTAAATCTAGATTTTCATTGATTCACTGGCAGATCAGTGCAAAAGTAAGAGTTTCAAAAGAAAATGGAACTATTGTATCACTGTCATGTACTGATCTGAATAAACTTTTAAGTTGCAAATAAAAGCTTCTCAAAAGTCACAAGATTGGGCACTTAGTATTCAGCATTTAATACTTTTCATCTTCTGCCTGTTTTCTAGGTCAGAACATGCTGAACAATAAAGACTTCACGTACGCACAAACAAACAAATATCACAGTACAATTTTAATTTAGTATTTCACAACTTATATGACATACATTCTCGAAGTGTTAAAAGTCCTGGTTTTTTTCCTTAACCCCTCCAAAAAAAAGAGAAAACCCCTATAAGCACAGACTTAGACATGCTGATGTCACATTCTCTTCCCTCCCCAAAAAACTGATAAATCACTCTAACTTACCAGCTCCCAAACATAATGAAACCTGCTAAAGATTTGCATGTTCCTGCCTCAGCGAAGCCTGAGCTCCTTCTCTCATGAAAGACAATGTATGTTCCCTGAATCTTCTCTGTCACCAACTACTACGTAATCACATTTTCCTCCAGGTTTGGAGAACTGCTGCAGAAAATGAAACTGTCTTTTCTTTTTATGCTTTGAAGACATCCACAAGCATGACAGGAAAACTTCTTTGGATCATTTATCACGCTACATTCTCAGTCCAAATTGTCTAAAACACTGTGCCTTTCTCATGAAGTGCACTTAGTGTCATTTTGAATGGCCTCCCTGATTGACTTTCACCTTTATAGAGCACATAAAGACACAAGAGTATACAGACAAATGTTTAATTTTTTCCTAACTATGCATAGCAGATACCAACTGGGGGGCAACGAAGTAAAGCTTCCATACACTTTATGCATAAAACTTCATTGATAAAGCTGTAGTCAGGAAGAAGAGGAACAAACAAAAAACCCCAGACTTCATTTCAATTAAAAGGACAAAAGTAGAGAAAGGAACTAGAAAACAGTGTCCGATCTTGTAGTCTCTGCTACTTTATAATTAAAGAATAGGAGAAAAGCAGTCACATTATAGTTTATTTTTATCTTGGCTCACGGAAAAGTTTAGTGAATCACAAAAAATAACCAGGAGGTGGAGAGAAATACATCCATGTCTTTCCACTGTCCTGTACAAGAGAATCACATGTTAGACAATCCAGTCACTTTATGTGATTCAGAATTCCATATTACTTAAGCAAACACGCAGCTGATAAAGACTGAATTTTAAACAGCTTTTATTTACTAATTAGGTGTCAGTTGGGACTGAAGTGCATTCCACCTAATCAGAACTATGGAAATTAAGGCAGTATTATGAAAGTTACACTGAAGTGTTGTATTGCACAATTAATTCAGATCTGAAGGAAGGAATATCTCTAGCTTCTATCCTGATACACAATTTTCAAGGGTGGAGAGCTACTGGAATAAAAACACATACAAGAGGGTTATAGAAGTGAAGCACACAGCCTGCTTTCATGCCTTTTTTTTTGTTTTCCTTTAAGCGCCCATGAGGGAGAGCAAACCAACTGGCAATGGAAAAACAACTTTCATTTCCACAACTAATACTAATCTGGTGGGTCACAGGACACTTACTGTCCTTGACAGCATTTCAGTGAATTTTTTTTATACGAACTTATCAATTTACCACACGTAGTGGTTTCACTGCATAGCTTACGTGCCTTCTGTTTCTTTACATATATACAAACCCCCTACTTTTCATCAACAGCGTTTTCAATTTATTTTCAATATGAAAATTGCTAGCAGGTCATGAAAGCTATTCAAGCCATTTTACCAGTAAATCATAGGGAGTGTGAGTATCAGCATTTTAGCACTGAATATGCATTCAATATGTTTTTTACTTTAGAGAAGACACATTTTTAAACAGGCAGTAAATGGGGAGCTTAAGTACCGAAGAAAACACTAATCTGAAAAGTTACCCCAACATATACTAAACAGAAGACATTAATTGTGCAACTTCCCTATTTATAAAGTTGCTTCCATTCCCATCCCATTGGCAAAAGAGATGTTTGTCATGCTTAAATTGAAAGTCCCTTGAGAGAGGGCTTAAAACAACAGACACAGCAAGTAACAAGATTTACAGTCCAAGACAAAGTGAAAGAAGGCGAGATAGTCATTGAGCACACAAGGCACGTGAAATACTGGCACGTATTGGGTTTTGAGCCAGGAATTAGTTTGCATTACTTCTCAACAGCAGCTCTGGTTTATGCCTGCTTTATGACTGTGATAGCATCTGGTTTCCGATCACCTTGTTTACTCAAGATGTTAGAAATTTTCAAATCATTCTCACTCCAGCTGTTTCCTGAACAGATCTTCGGATACAGATTTTATTTTTTTTTTAATGAAAAAGGGATTTGAACACACCAAAAATTATTTGAAGTTCAATGCAAAGGTTTTTCCTGTATCATTTCCCTCATTTTAGATCAAAATATTAGCTCTGTTACAAAACCAAAAAGCCAGCATTCTGTTTAAAGGTCCAACCGATTTTGAAATTATTTGTTAATTCAATATATTACTACACAATGGGCTGCAAACTGCTCAGAAAGCAAGAGTTACAGGTCTTAAGTTATACTGACACTGTGACACCACTCTTTTGATACGAAGCTTTCCATATAAAAGTATACTGCAAAAAGTTCCCAAAATGATCATAAGATTTCTAGATTAATTTGTAGAATGTATTGCTCCAGATTAATGCTGAAAAAAAAGTTTCTTACACTAAAAAAAATTGTTCCCTCCATATTCACTGAGTAAATAGAAGTTTAAATAAAAATTAAGCCAAACAAAATAATCAGACATCAGTTCTCTTAAAACAGAGATCAAACTGTAGTGATGACCAAGGCCTTCTGTGACTTTTGTACTAGCCTCTCAGACAACAGCCTAATTAAATAGGATGATTATTATAAAGAAATGCAAATGAGTTAATTAGTGCAATTATTCTACATGCATATACACATATATGCAAACACAGGTAGTGGGTGGGTAGGTGTGTGCACATGTGCACTTACCTATACATTTCAGAAAAGGAACTGTTCTTTATCCACACAATGAAGAAAAGGCATCATTCTGAAGCATTAGATTAAAACTTCAGTATATTAAATGCACCTCATGGAACATTCAACACAAGAAGCAGAAGTTTCAGTAGTCATAAGAAAATGGAAGATTTGGGAGCGTATGCCTAAAAAGCAGCCCACTGGAAAGCAACATGACAAGCCATGGGAACAGAACAGGGAACAAGGTTGCCATCCTGGTCAGGGTGACCAGATGACAAATAGTGATAAAAAGAACAAGATTGAAAGTCTAAGGCAGGTCAAGATTCTGAAATCCTGATGAGCTAGAAGCAAACTTGGAGGGAAGGTTGGAAAAAGCAAGTAGGAGGAGACATAAAACAGACAACATGATTTGAGTATGAAACCAATAAAATGATTTGAAGAGCCGTAAGAGGAAACTGCAATAAAGCATGCCCTCCACAGCCCTAGCCCTAATCTAGGAATTATCATCACAAAAATGCATTGACTTCACTGATGGGACAGGATACACACCACGTACAACTTGAAACACAGAACTTTAGAAGACAACATACAATACTATCTGACTGTCCTGATTATATTTTAGAGACAGCATAAAATTGTCATTCAATTACAATAAGGAACAATATATAACCTCATTATGAATGCTGATTGTACTAGAAACCAATGATATTTATATTACACACAGATACAGCTTACCAAGTTTCATGCAACTTAAAAGTTTCAATAATCATTAATACTATTGTAAACAGTTTACCTGGAAAGCAGCCTTAAGCAGCATTTGAAGAAAAAAACAAAGACTATAAACACCACCGGCAGCAGCAATGACCATAATTCATGGTAATAAGTTATTATTTCTGTAGCCAATTAAAACATAATTGTCCGTAACTTACATCCTTCACTAAGCACTGCTGTTCTCTAACAGTAAAACCCTCTCTGCTGCCCACTCCTGAGAGTAGGCCTATTAAGCCTGAACAAATTAGAATTTGAACTTCAACGCTAATTCTCAAGTTCCATCTCTTTCCCATTTCCCCTCTTTCTTCCCCCTCCTTGCCTGTAGTTATTTCCTGGCTGCCTCCAAACACTGCACATGAGCACTGCCCTAAAATCCATCATCGCGTCTGCTCAATTTCAGTTACAACAACCCTAATGCTTCCCACCAACTCCTGCAGGAAGGACGGGATGAAGTGACAAAAATATTTTCAGCAACCAAAAATGTTACCTTTTCACATTAGTATTAATATTGACTCCTACCAAGGCTACCTAAATTATAATATTAGCATGTTTTCATTCCTGAATTTATTTACTCATCAGTTTTCAATTACATTAGGCTTTTTTTTTTTAATTTATGCCACCCGAACAGATACAGAACGTATTTGAATGAAAGTAAGAAGTGTAGCATTACCTTTAAACTGGTAACTAATCCCTTTCAAAAGTACCTGCAGTATTAGCTCACTAGCTGAGAGTTCAGTGGAAATATTTTTAACTTCTAGCATTATACCTGCAAAACCAATACTGATCTAGAGCTTCCAAAACATCCAAACAACAGAAGTCATTCCCCCACCACGTAAATTATCTACATTTTTCTCAACAAGCATAATAGGAATTATTGCAAGTACAAATCTTCCCAGAACAGCAATTTTACCACTTTCATATTTGTGCATAGTTGAACACCATACAATAGACAGACTTTACAAAAGTTTACTTTTGCTGTTTATATGCAATAGGAGCTGCCACACAGCCTCAGAGCACTGCACTCCTATTTGGCACAGTCCAGAAAGTGCTACATACGACTGTAGTACTGCGCAGCATATGTCTCTTCTACAGGCACAGATGAGGTCAAGATAGCAACTTTTACAGGTACATTGAATCCAAGATGTAATAGGAATTAAGAGTTCTAAAGAAATGTTACTGTCCCAGCATGCAAATAAATTCTACCGCTCTATTCATATTTCAGTCAAAACTGAACATAATCTTCTGTTCTGTAATACAAAATGAATATCTGCAATCCAACCCTGTGTTTAGTGACAAGTAAGTCTACTTCTCTGCATGAATTATCCTGTCCCCCACAGTTCCAATGCAGAGATGCACTGCTGGGAGAGATGCTAGAGATACAGAACTGTGTGTGCAGTCTGCCTTTTACATTCTCAAGTACCTTTTGTTGAATAGTGGAGTGCTTTTGCTCCATATCTCTCTTCTCCTTTGCAGCATCTACAGCCAACTGATCCAGCTGTAAAGAGAAACAGAAAATTGGATCTTTAGATTTCAAGAGAAATTTGGCTCAGTAGATTTCATAATGCTGACAAAAAAGAACACAATCTGTCTAGACACCGCATGACTTTCATTTTATTTGCACAGCATAATTACTTCTCTGGTCACAAAGTGTTTACCTTGAATAACCACTGAAGCCTGGTTTAAAGCACTGCGCTACCAGCCTGAATTAACCTCTAGGAAAAGGTGTACGTTTCCTGTCAGCCTTAGAAGCCGCGTTTCAAAGAGCAGCATGGTGCCAAGCATATGCGCCTCCGTACCGCATTGGTGCTGGGGCTGCGAGCAGAATGACTCATGCTGGAGCTGCTCTCCCTGCCCGGCCCATGCAGCAGCGCTGGCATCAGCGGCGCACACCAGGAGTGAACACCACTGATTTTTCCCCCTCCACAAAGAGGGGGGGGGGAAAACTGCCTCCCTCAGCCAGGCTTTCATATCGATAGTTTTGATCAAGAGTATTTGAGCAAGATTCCTTGAAATCTTGGGCAGAACCATTCAAACTGTTCCTAGTTTTCAGAAATAACAATATGATTTTGCAAAGAGAGAGTGTCACAACAGAGAGGATGTAAGTTAGCATACTTACTAAGTCTGTGATAATAAAAAAGACACTACCAAAAACTTGCTGCAAGCATGTCTATAGCTCTACTACATAAACTTTTTCCTTTTAGAACTAGATGGAAAAAAAAAAGCAGGAAATTTAAGATATCCTGTAAGAGAGTACAGGCAGTTTGTGGTTTGTTTTTTTTTTTCCTCGTTGGTGCTTTTTTGTTGATTTTTGAAGTGGATTTTTTTGTGGTGGTGAGATTTTTGCGGGGGTAGAGAAGAGTACTGGTTTGGTGGGGGTTTTTGAGTTGTTGGTTTTGTTTTTTTTTTTCCCCAGACTTTGGTTTTTAAGTAAGAAATACTGTGGAGGAGCAGATGCTGCCTGAAAGACCAGTTCACTTGGTACTGATGGAATCTGATGAACTCCTCCTCTACACAGCCTGCAATACAAGCCTGCCTTTATCCCCAGTCACAGCATCCCACTGGGTAACGATGAGGACACAGTACTGAACACAGAGGTCCAGCTGCAGCTTCACATCTGTGGGACAGACCTCGCTCTTCTCCAGCCTGGACGGAGGAGGGCAGGAGCATTGTGTACCACCACACTTCCAGCTGGAGGCAGTCCCAGGGCAGGGGGCACAGCATGACCAACAGGACCTCTAATTCACACACAAACGTGATCACCTCCACCCACCCTCATAACCACGAGTCAGAACATCTGGCAACTCTGGTCATTTTCCATGTTGCACTTCCCCTGCTTGAAGTTACGCAAACAAGAGAAGAAAGGGACAATAACTGGGTCTTACACCCTTGTGCTAGACAGTCTCCAACAATTAAGGAGCCATCAGATAGTTGGGACATCTGGATCCAATTCCATACTCTTTTCTTAAGCCTTCTCTCCCTGGCTTCTTCTCTGGCTCGAATGGCTTATACCAGCACTTTCACACCTCACAGGTATTTGTGAAAATGAACACAATTAAGACTGAAGTGTCCAGACATCATATTTATGTAGCTATATGATTTAAAAATTATAGAATAGCCTCTGAACAGAGAATGGGCTGCCACTGTGCTTAAAGACTGTTTTGCACCAAGCACCCTGGGAAAAGCATTCTTTTGCAATAAAGATGAAAACTGGTCCAAGGACTGTTCAAGGCTTTATAGGAATTCAGTTTCTTGCTAAAAATCTCAGATTCATTAATCTGCACATGGACCCCAAGAAATTCTTCCCCCTAGATGAAACAGAAGGTAGCCAAATTCAGATTAGGGCAATTACCTCAAATTTATCTTAAATACAAGTGTTTGAGGATACCAAAGTTTTTAAAAGCAGTTCATTTCATCATGTATTTTTTTACTACTAAGACAGCATTCCATCATTCCAGTTTCCAAGCTCAGATAAAAATGTCTTCTTTTCACTCAGGTGAGCAACACATCAACTGTCTTAAAAAGAAAAACCAAAACCAAAAATCCAGCAGCACACAACTATCAAGAGCTGTGGCCAATCACAACTAAACTATCAAAATCCCAGTGATTACACCACTGGTGGGTACCCTTCCAAAAATCATTTTTTTCAAAATACTACATTTATTGGTAAATGTATTTTTATAGACACGTAGTGCTGTAAGTTATATTCTGTAGAGAATAAATAAGATTAAAATATGTAGCTTTTGGAATAGTCATTTCAAAATGAAAATTCAAGTAGGTTTTCTTTTTAAACTAATACCACGTATCACATGAGAAGTGTCAAATGCCATAATTTCCATGCAAAAGCTTATATTACACTTACGTGCCATTAAAGATTCCCCTACAATGATCCAATTCAAAAGTAATCATACCCTAACCTAAAATATCCAGAAAAATTGCTCAGTCTTATTCCATCATGTAAACCAGTTATTTTGAAAATGCAAAACAAAAGAATTAAAAATAACTATACCATTTAAAATCGATTTTAATACTTCAGGTTCTGTTAAGCCTAGTAGTTAAGGTCATACACAAAATTTACCTGGTAATGAAAACTCACCAGTGGAAAGAACCTGACTATTCTCAGAAAAACCGAATGAAAACCCACTTACCAATGGAAAGAACCTGACTATTCTCAGAAAAACCTAGCAAATCCCTGTTTTGTTAGGTCACAAGATACCTTCTCTCTGACCTGTTAAAAACTTCAACCAATACAAACTGCAAAGCCATTAATGGTTAAGAGTTCATAAGCCTTTTAGAGGTCTGCTTCTGTCATGAAAAATATCCACTACTCAAATGCCAAGGCCTGCCACAAAAGAATAATTCAGAAAGTTGTACAACTTTAGGGCCTTCAGTTTGTCTTCGCTCTGATTGCAATATATTTTAAACATGCTCAGCTTCAGATTTTCTAAAATTAACTCCTTCAGTTGCTATGATACCAGCACCAAAATGAATGTTACACAATGCTCTTTACCAGATCAAGCAAAAGGATGACCAGCCATTCAAAAATAACGTTGTGTTCCTTACTCAAATCATTTCAATGAAAAGGGAACATTAAATCCTAAACTTCAACCAATACAAACTGCAAAGCCATTAATGGTTAAGCTTTGCTTCAACCAAACTGCAAAGCCATTAATGGTTAAGCTTTCATAAGCCTTTTAGAGGTCTGCTTCTGTCATGAAAAATATCCACTACTCAAATGCCAAGGCCTGCCACAAAAGAATAATTCAGAAAGTTGTACAACTTTAGGGCCTTCAGTTTGTCTTCGCTCTGATTGCAATATATTTTAAACATGCTCAGCTTCAGATTTTCTAAAATTAACTCCTTCAGTTGCTATGATACCAGCACCAAAATGAATGTTACACAATGCTCTTTACCAGATCAAGCAAAAGGATGACCAGCCATTCAAAAATAACGTTGTGTTCCTTACTCAAATCATTTCAATGAAAAGGGAACATTAAATCCTGGTACCATAAACCACTGTCGTCTCCACAGTTTTTGTCTCCTTTCCCCATCCCTTCTTCTGCAGGGAGACAGGACACACATTCCACACTATCAAAACACTACGGTTCAACCACCACAACCCAAAATGGAAGGATGTAAAAGAATAAAAGGCACAACTAAGGGCAGAGTCACGGGGGGCTGCAGCTGTGCAGTCACTGCCCTTGGTGGCAGTGCCAGCTCACGCAGCCTCCCTCTTCTCAGCTCCATCACTTGTTTGCCACATGCCTACACACACACACAAGCACACACCTCCCTGACGTGTGTTTGTACAAGTAATTAAGACCCACAGTAACCTGATTGTGGACCAGTCTAGCAGAAAAATAACTATTTAAACATTTGATTGTTGGAGTTATTTTCTACAGTTCCCAGTCTGCTTCGCTGCACAGACACAGAAGCAGGCTGAGGGGCACAGACGCCAACAGCGCTGGGGCAGGAATAACCAGCTCAGAACAACGTCATTTCTCCACCACATCTACTTGAGATGAACGCAAATAAGTGTTTGCTATCACTTGTTTCCTTCTGTATCTGGATAGACACTTAGAATTTGGGTTAGCTCTGTTTTGTGGATCAGGTTGGGAAGTGGCCATAGAAGGTTTTGTATCAGTGTGGTTGTTGCAAGTCCCTGGATAGAGGCAACTGGGAAGTGGTTGTTGCAAGTCCCTGGATAGAGGCAACAAAAAAAACAGCCAAAAAGGAAAAAAAAAAAATAAAAAAATTAAGTGTTGTATAAATATTTCCAGGCCCATTCAACTTGCACCAAAACCAAGACAGGACACTATGAGTCTTCTTCCTGCATCACAGATAGATCTTCAGTTGAATATTGTATGTTCCTAATCTATTCTGCATGACCTTTTTTAAATTTCTCTGGTGTGCAGTTGGCTGTGGTCCATCTATTGAAAACCCAGAAGTTGCAATCGTGTTCTTAAACAACACAACTGGGCAAGAAGGATTTAATTTATTCTGTTTTGCAGAACTTGATATAAATCAGACCATGAACTCTGTTTTGCAGAACTTGATATAAATCAGACTTCTGTTTTATGGTCAATGTTGCTAACATGAATTTTCTTTTTGGCATACTGCATAATTTATACAGTAAATAGTGTATAAAAGTAGAAGGAAAAAAACTAATCTACTTTTTGTTAAATATATTTATAACAGCTCATACACAAAAACTTTTAAAATAAAATAATCCAGCGTTCTGAATACCATGAAGTAGAAGGAAAAAACCTAATCTACTTTTTATTGTTAAATATATTTATAACAGGTCATACACAAAAACTTTTCAAATAAAATAATCCAGCGTTCTGAATACCATGCAATACCTCAAATGACATTACAAGGCTACGTTTAAGTATATAAATCCCAAAGGTAGCATTAATTTTAGTAAATAGACAACTTTCAGTTTCTACTTTCATTCAAATCAGTGTATTTTTGTGCTTTGCCTCTATCACATTACAGTTCCCTTTTTGTTGAATAGATCTATGATATACCCGATAGATACTCATATCTCGAGTTTGCATCCATCCCAGCATATAGTTAAAAATCTTTAAAGCAATTTGTTACCTGTGCACCAAGATCTTTCATGTAGGGCTCAAGTTCACTAAAAAGATCATAGCCTTGATGGAAAAAAGTCAGATGGGCATACATAAACGATAACATCTACGAGGAAAAAAAAGTGTGTTTTTTAAAAGGACAAATATTTATCAGATATCACATAAATATATCGCTTAACTAATCCACATGAACAATTTTAAAATACAATTCCAGGGTTAATTTCTGCTCTATTTTTTAAAAGGACAAATTTTATCAGATATCACATAAATATATCACTTAACTAATCCACATGAACAATTTAAAAATACAATTCCAGGGTTAATTTCTGCTCTCTTGTGTCCTGGTAATTTTACATCAATATCTCACGGAGTTTCCAATGTTGTAAATAAACACACAAGGTAAAAGGCAGCAAAGAACCAAGCTCAAAATTTCAGAAATGAGTTAATAGGATTAAACCCATGAACAAAACAAATCAACGTAAGGGCAGAAAATTACATCTAGTACATATCGCTATTAAGTCTGTTTGAAACTGTCTAGTCGTAAAAAAGAAAACAAGCTGGGAAGATGCAGACCAGAATGGTAAGCAGCTCTAAAGCTGTGATGGAACTAAAGGCTTTGCTATTTAAAGGAATTATGGGAAATTATGGGAGTGTGACTTTAGACCTTTGAAAGAAAAGCACCATTTAATTTAGCAGTCTCTACCTCAGTAAACTTTTTAGAGATAATATGAAGCAGAAAAGGGAATACAATCAGAAGAAAACTAGCATGCAGATATAGCAGTATATTAATTTAGCAGATCCCATACTAAAAAGCATGTGGTATATTTGCTATTACAATATACTATTCACACATAAAAAATTTTTGTAGGAAGAGCCGAATCCATCTTAGAATGGATTTTAAGTAATTGTTTAGAAATTAATATAGCAGACCTAAACAGCAGAATTTTTAGCAGACAAGGTTAGATTTTAACTATGAAAAACATATAAAAGTCAACAGCAGCGAAAACCTTAAAGTTCAAATCTGTTCAAATCTGAAGCAAAAGAATTGCCAAACACAATTAAGCATCTATGCCCAATTACAGGGAAGGCCAAACTGACTGTCGAAGTCTCAAACGCACTGCTAATGTTTTGATGGTTAAGAGCATGAAATCTTTAATATACAGCTTTGCAGTCACATTTTAAGTTTCAGATGTATATAAATATCTTCTGTATAGAAAATAAAGTATATCTTACCGATTTTAAGATTTCTGCTCTCCTTTTAGACTGAAGAACATTGATCTAGGAAAAAACAAACAACTTAATTTTTCATTGTACTTGCAAATTTTCACCACAAAAGTAAACTTGGAATTACTTTCAAATAATCATATCGAAGCATAAAACTTTGGAAGAAAATAACTCAATATCAGGCTTCACAAAGCACTTTGGAAAGAAGACACAGGCTAGCTCTGTCCCTTTAATAAAATGATGCAATCAGAAAAAGCGTGTGAAATTAGAATTTCACAGTCATAGTCACAACTTTCTTATATTAGAAGGGAAAGTATAAGACATCACGTGTTAGCTAAAAGTAATTATTATATTTCAGGCAAGGAGAATCGGTACCCATTTTCAAGGGAATGATCTCAACATGGCTTATATACCATCTCCAACAGCATGAGCTAACCCAGCCCACCGAGTTCCGCAGGGAGCTGCACTCCGCAGCGCCGCCGGCTCCCAACAGCCAAGAGGAAAGGACGGGGCATGTGTCCCAAAACTGGGATATAGCCCCAGCCTCTGAAACAAGCAAGATCCTAACAGCTTCAAAAAGTAACTTTGCATACATACTTGCACATTTAAGCTAGCTGAAGACCAATGGTGTTGCCCTAGAACTTGAAGAAGTTCAAATTATATAGAAAAAATAACTGATTTTTCACATTCCCCCAGTTCCTCTATCCTCTTTGTCCCCTAATCTTTAAGGTTGTCATCCAGAACTACAGATTTTACTTTAAAAGCCCCATTTAGCAGAAACATGCATGATTTTGTAATTTAACACCTCCATGTCAGTTTAAAATTCCAGCAGAAGAAATAAACTTACTGAAGGTATAATCAAAACCAGATTGTACTTCTATACTTAAATACTCAGTGTTTTGGAAAACTTTCTGCAGTAAAAATAATTAGGATTCATTGTATATAACTCTCAACTTGTGAAGATAAAAAAAACCAGCAGGAAAAGAAAGGTTTTGAAACACAGTTGAAAGCCAATATAGCTACAAAGACACCATAGTTGTGAAGTCACTTTGCTAGAAGAGTCACCCGAGCAGGAAGAATGCCAAAAGCTGAATTCATTTTTGCCCACGTTAATTAAGAGATGATTAAACTTTTCCCTGTTAGTTTAAATGCATATTTATCACAGGAACTGCTCATACTTTGAACATAGGAATTCCAGGAGGCAGATGAGCTGCAGTTCAATGCACACACAAGGAACTGCCCTATAGTAACAACTGCCAGCTTCTCCCCTCACCCCCGCTACTATTTGATGTGAGTACAAATAATCAAGTGGTGCATAATTCACATGACTTCTTAAACACCAAAATTAACTTTGCCCTTAGTGTTCAAAAGGCAGAAGTTCAGTGTCGACCACTGACCACCAACCTCCATATCTGTGCACATGCCCAGGCTGATCAGATCAATCCCACTTCATGTTACAGGTAATACATGCAATTAAAAGAACAGTTGACTAAGCTTTAAATAACCGACTGGGCTGTCAACAAATCAAGATGACAATGTCTAATATAAAAGTAATACAATTTTAAAGGGTTGCTCTGTGTTTGATCATAGGAGAACCCCAGAACCATTTAGGAGCCCCCACCACCTCATACCATCCGGGTTCCAATAATCCTGTTTTACTCTAGTCGTGGGTAACTATGAAACAGGTTAATTGTAAGTATCAACAGAAAATTTATTATTTCTTCACAGGATTCAAAGTAGGAGGACAAAGAACACCTCTCAACACTCTACAGATTTACACTAAAAAGCAAATGAGTAGTTATGTTCTTGATTTTCCCTAAGGCACAATGCAAAACTTCGAGGCTTCTGGACAAATAGGATTTGTTAAATAAAACCCAAAGCAAACAGCTGAAATTGAAGCAGTAGCCAACATCCTAGAGAATTGTTCAGGTAATTTGTATTTCCTAGACTAGGTTATAGTTTTTACTTCAAATATATAAGGAACTACAGCATAGCCAACTCATGAAATACATTTAGGTAAGTATCAGGCAAATATTGTTTTTTCAAAATTAATGTTCAAATTGAAAATTCAACTGTGTCTTTACAGCAACTGCACTGAATACTGAAGAACTAAGCAATAAGAATGCATCAAATAAATTAATTTTGCTTAGATTCCATTAAAAAAGAAATTACTTGTAGACCAAATTATTCCTTTTCTAATAAATCTCCACAGCTTCTGAGAAGCTTACAATAATAACTTCTAAAGGATGGATCTCTAAGTATATCTAACATACACATATATATGGTTTGGAAAAATAACTTTTATTGCTGCACTTACCTGAAGAACATAATCCAGAGCTATGTGTCGAAAACATTTCCGTGTTGCAGTCAAAATATTGGTTGCCTCCTCTACTTCGTGTTGCTTATTTCTTTGAACCTGGGCATTTTTTACTAGAGCATTCTCTTTTTCTTCACTAACTTTTTCAAACTGTTTCTTTGCATCTTTAAATTTCCTAATGTCTCTAAAGAAAAAGGAAAGATGGATAACAAATAAATTCCAAAGCATGAAAAAAAGTGTTTAAAGACACACTAGACAGACCACGTTTGTGACGGTTATAGTTTCTTTGTTTTCATGTTCTTTAATAAATGCTTGGATCCAAAGGATATCATACAAAACATGATAGAAATATGATATGATATTTCTCTTCTGAGGAAAGGACAAAATTGAAAATTGAAATAAATGCGTCTCTTGCTCACCAGGGAAAAGCTTTGGTAAGCACTTTTTTCCCCTAAGCTTAGACAAATGACAACATGTAATTAAGATCAGTAATTCATACCATCTCAACCTTTCCACAGTTGGATCTAAAGCCTCACTGATTTAGGATGGTTTTTTGACAAGCTTTAATACGCAATTCTCAATTTATGGCTGGCAATTTTCAGGAATGATGTTTCACCAACCCATTCAAATCAGTTGTTTTTAAATTCTACTTTACCTATAGTTTTCCCATTACAAGTGCAAATTAACTTACTCTTTAACGAAAGTCTGAAGCTGTGCTTTAATTGATCTTTGGGTTTGGTCAAACAGGATCTGAAAGAAAAATAATTCTTATGTAGGTCAATAACTTCAGGGTGTTAATAACTTTTCATTTTAGACATACAGTTATGCAGAATTAGATGAGAATTATTATTGTTATTAAGCTGTCTCATATCAAAATATAAACCCCTTCAAAGCAGTTTTGAAATAAAAAAAGGAATAAAATTGTCACAAAAACAACAGCTTTTGCTGGTCTTTTCTTCAAGATTGTGGTTATAAAGGAGGGACAAGCTCCTGGCATCTTATTCTCTCAACCTGACAAGGTAAAACATACCCACTTCCATAGAACGTGTTCATTGTGATTATTAAGCAGTTAAGAATATTACTGTACAAACAGCCTTGAAGAAACAACTTTATGTAATACTTTTTGATTCTTCTAACAGACTTCCACAATTTAATCAGCAACTACAAGACAAATGAAACCATAGAAAGAACATCTGGCAAAAAAATCACTGACTGAAACGAACGTTGAAAATGTAACATATAATTAGTACCATGTCCTTGACATAACACATTCGTAAAAAAACAACAAACCAAACCCCACTGTCAAACTGCTGAAAGAATGGCTGCCTCTTTTTCTAAAATTAAGTGTTCTAAGCCATGCTTCTCAAATTGCTCGTGATTTGGTGAGGCTGGGAGGGAGGTGGAATTATAATCTACTCATTCAGATTGTAACGATTGAGAAATTTATTAAGTTTCCAAGGGCAAAGCACACCTGGATGTTAGACAACTTGTGTTTGCTCTTATGAGCCCAGAAATGCTGACGAATTAAAACACACAGTCCTTCAGCTTCACATCTGCCCTCTAAGTTTTAGGACCAAATGGAACAGGTCATTGGCAATGGGACAAATCCTTTTGCCACTTATCATTGTGCAGACCAAAAATAGTGCCTTAATTTCCAACTCCTCTACACCTCCCCTTCTGCATTATGACAATCTACAAGGTATGATCACAAAAAATAAAGAGGTGAAAGAATACAAGGAAGTAGTTGGCCCAACTGAACAGAATCTCTTCCAAAAGATAAAGATCTTTAAGTGTTAAATAATTTTATTGAAAGAGCAAGTCCAGAACTCAAAGTTTCAGGTCAAGCAATGTTGTCTCTAAACGTTCTCAGTCTTAGTCTCCCTATTCACAAAATTTGGGAATGAAAAGGCATGAAATGCCAAGTACTGACAGCAAAACCCTTACCAGCTTGTCTCTCTTTTCTAGAAGCACTGAAGGAACAAAAACTTGACTGAATAAGTCACCAATTAATAGTGGTACTATATCCTCCACCCAGTCTCCATTTTTGGAGGTTTTCAAGACCAAATGGGATAAAACCCAAAGGAACCTGCTCCAATCTCAGAGTTGTCCCTGATTCAGGCAGGTAGTTGAACCAGATGCCTCCTGAGGCCCCTTCCAACTTGCATTGTCCTGTATCTAACAGTAACACACAGAAGATCCTGTCTGTATTCCCTCTTTGGGAAACCAGAAAAACAGACAACTAGAATAGATAAAGAACTTCTTGACAAGCTGGAAATCATGCTGGGACTACTCCCACTGCTGACATTTAAGCTTGCCAGTGCCTAAGGAGTGCACCAATCAAGATCAATACAGAAAGAATACAACCAGATGGGAATTCAACTGATTAGTGGACTTCCAGAAATATGAACCATACAATTCTGCTTACAGTAATGAAGAGGGAAAAAGTGTTAGGCAGAAAAATACATACTTTTTTTTCCTCCCCAAAAGAACAGGGAAAAAGTACCCAGACCATGATCTGACTAAATTCACAGCCTTTTGTACACATTACCTTTCACACACTCCAAACCAAGTCCAAGAAAGCTGCTGTTTGCCATAAGCTGTCAAAGCTACTTCCCCACTGATGGATCAGTGAAGATGCTGCATTAATCTGGTTTCTAGCTTGATCTGCAGCAAAACTTCACATAAGAAAACAGTCAGTCATCCAGATCTCAGTGGGACCACCTCCTACCCCTTCCCTCTCCTCTGCAGGATACCCAACTCTCATATTCTACCTGCTTCTCACTCCTGGTGGCTCTCCTGCCAACTTCGTCAACAACAGAGCTGACACTCTCAGCAAGTAAGTCCTGCTGAACTAAGAAAATTCACAACAAGCAATGTAGGCCCACATGTCTGGCAAAGCTCTACATCAGAACCTCATAATATCAGAACCTTACAACATCAGAACCTTACTTCTCACGTTTGCGCTTTTTGGTAAAAGCCACTCTTCTGCTCACCGCGCTCGAGCACAGAGAGGAAGCGAAGGGGAGAAAAGCAGGACCACTCAGAGTGGTCCGACTTAGATCTGCAAGGAAATCTTCTTTTAATATGGCTTGTTCTTCACTTGCTGCCCTCAAGCTGCCGTAAAGGGAAAGCTGTGCTGTGCCAAGTTCTACCAAAACACTTCAAGCCACGATCACGCAGAAAGATACCAGCAGCAAGAGTATAGAATCTAGGTCAAATGTGTCAAAAAAGCCCTATACCATATGGCAAAGCCATGGTAAAGAGGGTGACCAGCAGCAAGAAGTGCGATGAAAAGTGTGAAATAGAGACAGCCAACTGGTTTCATCTGCTTTATCTAACCTGCAGAAATCACTGACATCAAAGTAACACTTTCTCCTGCTGCTGCTTTCAATGTCCTGCACAGGCTTCTCTCTGCCATCAGAGTATCACTGTCCACTTACTCTCCTCCTTACAGTTTTCATTATATTAGGTGTAGATACATACACCTCAGAATGGAAAGGAAATCCAACTCAAAAGTATTAGCTTGCTTCCCTTTGTTTCCCTTCCCTTCTAAAAGCATGCATTTTCCAAAAAATGCCTAAGACAACAGTTCTGGGAAGCTAAGTTAATACTAACAAAATTAATTTCAGGTGAAGCTATTTGAACTGTAGTCTCTGTAGCTCATTACCTTTTGAAACTCCTAGAAATATATAAAAAAATTAATTTTAAGTGCCCTGTCTATTTTCAGGACTTGGGAGACACTTCAGTTGCTTTCCAGCAACTTGCTGGAAAATGAAAGAAAAGAAGTAGGAGTCAAAGGAAGAGGAAAAAAAATAGAACTACTAACACGTCCCTTTGACTTTGAGGACACAAGGCTAAATTCTTTAGAGCAGAAAAAACCAAGAGTAATCAGTTCTCAATCCAGGCAAGACTGAGCTTTCTGATGAAGTCTCACATGCTAAAAATCACTATTCATCTCAAACCCCTAGCATTTTCTCCTTTCTCTATACTTGTCTAAATCTGTCATAAACAGACAACTACACACAAATCAGAGGTGCTTCATTTTGTGCATTATAAAGGATGGGAGCAAAAAAAAAGTAGAAGTTTTGGAAAAGGTAATCATTATTTCAGTCCAGCAAAGAAATACACTCTTAGTTTGTCACTGCTGCCCCTCAGTTTGATTAAAAAATATGAAACAATCCAGTATTTACTGTCTTATAGCACTGGGGTTTTGCAAAGCTTACAAATTCCAAACAAAAAATAAAGCGAGATAATCTGCGAAGAAGGGGATATTTAGAAATACTTCATAAATAAAAATAAAATATTTAGAAGTACAAAATGAGAGGTATTTAATACCACTTAAACCATGACTTTGCAAATACTATCAACAAGAAAAGCTTTAGCGTTCTTCTGTTATCAAATATAATGCCATGTTTCAGCTTGAAACACTTACATTGTGATAATTGATCATTTCCTGTAAGGTGTCAGAGAACTTTGTCAAGCTGGTCTGCAAAGAGAAAAACAAAGTGGTTTAAATTAAGCTTTACCAAATACACAGCATGAAAGTAAGGTTTCAGAGCTTTACAGCTTTTCAATAAAGAACTTGAGAACTGATTTTCTTTGGCATGGTTATTAACTAAAACCACTACGCTAGAAAGAGAACTGGGGATGATATCAAGTAAATCTAGTAAAGCTACAAGTAACAAAAATGTTACTGCTACCTATCTATATATAAAGGACCAAACTGAAGCAACACAGGAAAAATTCAAATTTAGTTGACTAAACTATGGGAAGTTCACATAATTTAACAAACTAACTTAATATACTTAATATTACACTACTTAGTATTTATTGAAGTTTAATACTTTAGATTCCAAAACCTGGTTAAGATGTAGTAATAGACATAGACACACATTTACTGTAGGAACTACTGCCTCAGCAGCAATACTGAAATCAATCTGTAGAAACAATGTCTCAAAGACAGTTAGAAAACAATGATCCCTTATATATTCGGACAATTGCTTATTGCTCACACAGCAAGTTTAACAATAACCTACTTGGAATCAATTAATCTAAGTTTTACTAGTTTGCTATCACACTGCATGTCAAGGAAGTACATTTCCAGACAATACCAGTTTCAGTTGCACACAGACTACACTGAAATTCACAGCCATTATCTATTTCAACCAGCCTGTGAACATGCACGTGTGCAATCGATGTTCTATTACATAATGTGCATTAAATATAGATGATATACAGAGATGGGCACATAATTATACCTGCGTATTACACAATTTCACATCTCATTTCAAAGAACATAGAAAGGAAATGCTAGGTGTTCCAAATTAGCCTAACAAGGCATCAGTTTGCGGTAACAACAAAGTGGGCTCTGTACATGTAAAAACTTAAATTTTTGTATATTAGAAAGTGCCAATTCCAGGATCCAAGAGATAACTCAGGGAATTTAGTTGCACAGAACTGGCTCTATTTTCTGGACTTTGGAAAACCCTTGCCATTGCAGGCTAAAGCTGAAACTAAACAGCACAGATAGTTGCAGTGTACCACGGTCAAAAAAAGTTCAGTCCCAAAACACTTCAAAGAAAAAGGAGCAGAAAGGCAGTAGTATAAAATATATATAAATAGTATATAAACTTCAACTACTTCTCTCACCAACTGTTACATTTTACCCCTTTTTAAGTTACAACTTCTCTCCTATTTTCACCTCTTAAAGAACTTACCTCAACCAAGGCATCTTTGCAGGAATATTGTGCAAGGTCTCTAATTCCATTCATGAACTGCTTGTTGGCTGTACAGAATGCTTTCCCAGTATCAATCATTGCAATACAAAGCTTCACCAGCTAAAAAGACAAAATGAAAGTTTTTGCATTTGTTTTGGTGTTTTGGATGGTTTTTTTTTGACATCACAAACATGAAACACACTGAGATTTAATTAAGTCTAAGAAACAAAGATGTCAAAAGATAAATTCTAGATTTACTGAGCTCCCGTTCTATGAATAGCTATCTATTGTAGAGTGATAGTTATAAAAGTACTAATATAGGTCAACTGAAATGTCACGGAGAAGGTTCCTACTCTTTAAAAGTTTCTTTTATTTTTTTTTTATTTGTCTTATTGTTAACTGTGATTTTGCACATATTTCAAGAGAGGGTTGTTTGAGGGCAAAAAGCACAGCAACTAAAATGTAACTGGTCAGAGCCCAAGTAAAATTCTAAGTGTTTCATGGTTTCCAAGCCAAAAAACCTGAAAAGAAACCCACACCAGTTGTTTCATCTTGAGACACTCAGAAAACAGGCACAGTAAAGCAAAAGGCTCCCTGCACAAAGCACAACTGAAGGAGATGGTTACACCTCAGAAGGCAAAATCAGTTGTGTTCTCTCATACAATAGACTAGTCTTTCTCTGGTGGGTTTCCATCCCTACCTCTCACTGCTTAGGTCAGCACCTTAGCTAGGATGGTACTGCAGAGTCTGATACAAAAGCCATCAGGATCTTGTAATGGATATTTTTCCACTTCTTGACCAACTTATGCACTGAGCCATTAATGAACTAAGGAATGATTAGTATAACCACTAAAACGCTCTCTTGAGTGAAGGTATATTATAATTGAGTTCCCTTCACTCTAAACCAAACAGAATAAAAATCAGAAGACTGAACTTTCATCTCTGCAGCACTTTCAAGTCTGTTCGACATGGTTTCATGAAGAACAACATCGAGAACTGAGCCTATGCTGGAACAAGGAAACGACCCAATTGACCTTCCTGCCTTTTTTTCCCCAGTAATTTTTATGCTGACTCGGATCCTTTTAGGAAAAGAAGAAATCTGAGCATCATCTCCCACATTCTGATGAATGGTCAAGTTGTTTTAACAGTGGACACAAAAAAAAAAAAAAAAAAAAATCACTCCCAACATGATCCTTCCCCCCCCCCCTTCATTTTTTGCTTACAGTTCACAATCCTGAACCCAGCATCCTTTCTTCCAGAGAGGAAAATAAATGCAGATAATGTAGCCCAAAGTCACAATTGTGGGACAATAAACATAAGTTTAGCATGTATAACTGAGCAGAAAAAGTTACCAAGTCTAGACAAATCATCAGCCCCAGGCCATAGTTACTTCAGCTCACAGAAGAAACTTGGCTCTCAATTTAATTGTTATACTAGGTCACTCATATTTCACATTATAAATAAGCTACTTAAATACTTACCCTGTGCACTTGCTTGTCAGAGGAGCAAATGGATTTGGGTGTTTTTGTTTTAAAGAGAACTAGGATACTGTCTCAGGGCAAAGAGCAATATACAATCATTGCTTTTACGTGATAGAATGGTAAAATTTGCACTAGCCTCCTGCAAGAGGCTGGGTTTAAGGCCCTGAATAACATCCCTTAAGATATTTAAGAATTTTTTTCCCAAAAAATACAAACTTCCAAGAGAGATTTTTCAGATCCTTTAAGTACTTAGATGGTTTAATCCACCAAGAGAGATTAATCACTGCTACAGTAAAAATGTGCCTTATACACATCAGTTTCACCAAAATTCACACCAAATCAAAATTAACTACCTTAAGTTTATTTTGAAAGAGCAAATGGTTACATTAGTTACTACCAAAACTACAAATATTATTACAAAAAGTAACAAAAAGTCTTCAGACTTAACACTACACTTGAAACTGACTTTATTTGTCTCTATCTTTCTGCTGCCAACTTACAGCTGCAGGGACAAAAGTTTGTACTCAAAAAGTAGCTAAAGAAGGTGAACAAATAGCATCCACCTACCACATTAAAACACAGGCAAAAATTAATTTTAAACTTTTAGCATAAAATGCTAAGGGAAGGAAATTTTCTACAGATCTAAAAAAAAAAAGCCATCTTCAAAATGCTAGCAAAGAAAGAACAAAAGCCTCCAATGCTACTGGTTTGGACACCAATAAATGGATTGTGAGGCACCAGTAAGATGGTACATACAACCTTTCATACACCTGCACAAAGCATGACAAAAAGCAGGATGAATTTTAAGGTAGCAATGACAAAAAGCAAAGGATAAATATACACACACATGCCCAGTATCCCACTGTGAGCGGACCGCAGATTACCAAAGACAGAAAGCACAGACTTTAAGTCTCTAAAACAAAGAGTATCCAGGTGTCCTCACTGAATGGAGTTGCCATAAACCCCAAGCTCCCAGTGCAGGGAAATTCAGGAAAGCTGAATTAGCTTCCACGTGGCTCCCAGCGTGGAGCCGAGTCACGGAGTGGGAGGGGGCCGTAGGGGCAGGGGGGCACTGCACAATCCAGACCCTGTGCTGGGAGAGGAGTCCAGCTCACCCTGGCTGGTCCTGTGGTTCCTCAAGCCTGGGTCTCCGGGGCCCAGCTGTGCACTCAACCCAGATCCCTTCCCGTTTGGTTGGCAGCCACAGCCACTTCCCAACTATGAACTTCAAAATAAAGCCTAAACGCATCTTTTTATATTTTTCAGAACGGACATTGAATTAAAAAGCTTACCTTGTCAAGTTTCAGTTCCAGTTCTGTCACATCTCCTTCTACTTCTTCTAAAGCTGCCCTGCATAGTTAAAAAATGTTTTCCTGTAAAACTTTACACAAAAATACGCTGTGACTGGGGAGAAGGGGCAGCGACACATTAATTTAACCCATTATTGCCATCAGTTTCACTTGAAATCTCAACTACAAAACAGCATAGATTTTAGAGAACCACAAGAACTGCAGAAATTTTCACAGTAAAAAGAAGAAAAACTACATCACTGATAAAACATATAGCTTTGTAATAAAGATTCAAGATTAAATTTTTTTAATCCTAATGTTTGTCACATTGAGATAGGTTTCCTCTATTCTTCCATAGCCAATAGCCTTCACGATTGAAGGTAATAACAAAGGAAAGAAAGTCTGAGTGAAATCTCTTAAGTAATTCTTTCAGCAACTATCTTGGCTCAAACCTACAAAATGACTTTGCAATGAGATTATGAATAATACAGCATTTGCCATGAGTCAACTGACTCAGCAGTAAGTTCCAATGGCACAATTCTTTATATCACTTGCCTCTAGTCTAGACCAGTTGCAACTTTCAGACCAGTCAAATTTTACTTGCCAGTAAAAGTTGCTTTCATGAAGCATTCTGAAAGCTTTTTTTTTTTTAAAAAAAAACCCTCTTTCATTTGAGAGTTTGTTTCTTATGACACCTCCTCCCTTGCTTGTTGCTACCTGAAAAAACAGAAGACTGAGAAAGGCTGATGCTGTTCAGAGAGTTCGTGAACATTGTGGTTTCATCAGGCTATTGCCTTGAGAGCTCGAATGTACTAATTTCTGGCAAGGATCACCACACTACAAGAATCTGTTCCAGGAGGCTGGGATTTCACATTACACAGGGGTCTGTAGGAACAGCTGTATTCCCATCCCTTGCTCCCATCCCAGGGCGCCTCACTCTTTCAGCCATCCCAGCATAATCATTCACGGAGCCACACTGTTCACCAGTAGTAGTTTGCCTTGGGGAAAAACAAAAAAAAGTAATAGGAAGTTTTCTGTAATGCTTTCTGGAAAATTGCAACAGATACATTTCACTCCTACAAAAAACTCTTCCTGGAAAAAGTGAGACAGTCAGGGAAGTACAATTTAGAGCAGGAATTTCTTGAGCCAGCTTTACCACTGAGGAGAGAGTACACAGAACCACAGCTTCACTGTCCCTTGCTAATCATGTTCTAGTTCACATGAGTTCAAGCCAAGAACAAAAAAATAAAAAAAACTGGATCAGGCCCCAAATGCAGGAAAAGCAATTTTTACAAGAACAGCTCTGAAAAACACTGCCAATTGCCTGCAGTTCTCAAACACTGAGCATGACATTCCCAGCTTTTTGCAGATTTCACTAACACATAGTTGCATTCCAGTTTTTGTATCTAAAGGCATTCCCACAGTTACAGCCTAGGTTTTATATCTAAGCACATTCCTGCACAGTTACATTTTGGCTTCTGTCTCTTCTAGCTTCAGAGCATGAAAGATTTCAGACAACATCAATTTCTCTTTTACTTTTTTTTATTTTCTTCCATAAATGATTAACTTTCATTTCAGTCTCTAGAGCTAAATCTTGTTTCAGAGAGCATTATAGAGAAAAAAAAAAAGCCAAAAAAAACAAAGGAAGGAAAAGTACCTCAATATTTAGACTACAATTTTGTATTCATTTGTTTATAATTACAGTGCAACCAATTTCTATTTGTTTCTTTGGCATTAACATAAAAGCATGATTAAGTAGCTTGTTTACAGAACTGCAGCAAGATCTGATAAGAATTTTTTTCTTAGTGCCTTTAACTAGCAGAGTTCTAGCTCCACAGGACTTAATGAGCTAAAAAGTCTAAGATCCAAGATGAAGAGGAGAGATAAAGGCAGTTAGAGAAGGCAGAACAAATAAAAGACATCTGCTCAGTAATTAAAGGGAAAATTTTAAGACAGAATAAGCCCAACTGAAAAAGAACTAACAACAGAGCAGCAAAAGACTGAAAAGATGAGGGACAGGTCAAGAAAGAAGTGTAAAGCAAAGCAGAAAGAGACACCACAGCAGAAGGGAGACCTTCAGCCCCTCCACCACCTGATTCACTTCAGATCAGCTTTGAAGGACCACAGGCCCCCAAAGCCTCCAGGCTATTTCCCACCACGACCTGATGGGGGGAAGGCACATCTGGGCCCTACAGCTGGATACGGATCAAACAGCTGTTAGGTTCCAGCCAAACACCATTTCAACTCCTTGTTTCTCTGCATAGAGCTGGCTACTTTTACTGTTTCCATTCACCTAAAACCTAGTAGAAAAGTTATTCTCATGCAAACATACTCACAGCACTAGACCAACACTAGATGACAAGCATAAGAACTCACATCACCTCACAAGAGGTGATGCCCTCAAACCATCAGAATAGAGATAACTAATATCTAATAATACTAGATATGCAATAATCTATTAACACCATCTCATCACAAAAATAGTTTTCATACTGGGTTAGGGAACACAGTAAGACTAGTTGATCTGAGCTGTGCTGTTAATGTAAGCCTTGTTTTTCTTACTTTAATACTTTTTGAAGCCACAGAATACAAAGGTGGATTTCTCTCTCTAAAACATCTGTGTCAGGAATTACTTGAAAGTTCACAGAAAGTTGTCATAATTCCAAGTAAATCTCATGTGCACAGCCAAGACCCAATCTCCAGCGATAAACAAAGGAAGTGGTCATAAAACAGCTGAGGACCCAGTGCCAGACCTGACACGCACCAAAAATGTTGCTCCTTAGCAAAGTGGGAACTGGGAGCAGGGTTTGCGTCAGGGTAATCTTAGCCAGAAGGCTCTGGCACTAACAGCAAGGATCAAATCTGCCTCAGCATGTGAATCAAAGTCAAACATCTGTGGCTCGCCGAGATGTTCAAACACTGCGTGGCAAGGCACAAACCCAGAACAGATGCTTAAGGGTGGGGGACAACTTTCATAAATGAGCAGTCTCCCGTACCCTTCATGCTCCCTAATGAGGACTCTCAGGAATGTGTTTCTCTCCTCTGCTGTTCCTCTCCTTCACCCACACCCCCCCTCACCGAAGCCCAGCTTAGTTTGCTAGATAGAGCTTCCTGCAGAGCTGCAACGCAGGAGGAATATGGGAGATGATGGAAGAAAACTCAAGACATGACTTAGCAGCCTTTTTAAATTAGGATAATGCCACCGGTCGCCTAGACCAGCATACAACACAAAAAAGCTGAATGCCCTGGTGCCCATCACAGCATTCCCCTTGAATTGACCAAAGACTTGCTTCCAGGTTAAGGTACTATGGGACACTAAGAATCCCAGGAACCACATAGAAAGCTGACAGCTGAACTCTCCTCTACAAAGAGGATCAGTCACTCTTAAGCCGTGAGCTACAGACACGTGCCAAGGAAATACCTTAGTCCAGACTAAACCACTACACGCCGCTGACCTTTCGTCTTCCACTCGCTCACTGTGTTCTAGCTTGTGTTTTTAGACTGCCTCCCAGAAAGCCAGGAGGCTGGAATCAGTACTCATTATAAATTAGGTGCTGACAAACAACAAATTGGAGAACCCAAAGGTGCTATGAGCAATTAACAATTAATTATTCTTAAATCTAGAATTAACACATCCCATTATAAAAAAAAACTCAAAAGACTAAAAGCCCACTAAAAGTATTTTCCCATAGTTTTTTTTTTAAATTTTAATTGAAAAACGTTTAAAGCTTCAATCTTAGATTCACCTCTTGAATATACCTTCAGAAGAAGAGAAACAAGTACACAATCAACTGCTATTCAGACTGGGACTTCTGAATACATTCATGTATTTGGACTCATAAAATGGGAATAATAGTTTCTCACCATCACAATTTCAGTAACTTTAATACTAAAGCCTTGTCTCCAAATCTTGGAAAGACACAGCTCTCCTACCTGCACATATTCTATGCAGAATACCCCCTCCATGCACAACTTTGACGTCACTGCAGATGACATGTCCTTTCAATTAATGCCCATTACAGTTCAATAGCATAAAGCTGATGTGCCTCCAGCCACTAATTATCAATAGCTAAACCAAAGTATTTGAGTACATGTACTCAAATCTAACTACATTTCCATCTTCCTCCATTTTGTGCAGTATAACTTCATAAGACCAGCTGTGTATCAGAGGAGTAAATAAAGCAGCGTTCCCATGCTCCACTGCCAGTGGAGAACAATTCAGCCGCGGAGGAAGAGAGAACATTGAACGTGAACCAACAAGCAAACAGTACTGTGATTAACTCCCCTTTGTCCTCTTTAATTGCATTTCATTTTAAACTTTAAGAACATTAGGAAAATTGAAAAACAGTTAAAGATACGTACAGCTCACTAATTGCAAGGGCCAAACTGGATAAAGCTGGTTCATAACTGGCTAAGGTAAAAGCAATTGATCATTCTCTCATGTTACGTACAAACCCAATACAGACACCAGTAGAGATTAGCTGCAAGCAACTGTGCGTCCCACAGTGGTATCACAGCTCTAGATGTGCATAAAAATCAAACTATATTAAAATTACCAAGCACTCATGCTATAGCTTTATGTGATACTTCATGTATTCAGCTTTATGTCTTGGTTAGACTTCAGGAGCTTTCTACCAGCACTTTCATCTACCTTGCTGAGGTCCCTCTGAATGAAAGACCTACCCTCCAGCAAACCAACTGCTTCCTCCAGTCACTGTGTACTGCACTTCATCTCCTTCTTCTATAGTGAGCTACAAAAAGTTATCTAGAGGCATCTTAACCAACGTGCTAACAAGGAATACATTTGATACATGTATAAAGGCATCAAACAACCCAGATTAAAAAAGAAACATGACATATTGAGGGACAAAGAAGTCATACACTGAACAATAAGGCCTAATAACCTTGGATACATACAAGAAGAGTTTTATAGCTTATTAGATGTGTCATAGCCATTTAGACAGTCTGAAGAAAGAACACTGTTGCAGCCTGTCACAGAGCCCATTGAAGTCCTGGTTTGGCACCACAGAGATTTTTCCCTGCTGGCACAGGGCCCCTCCA